ACTGTCTCTGTATTACAGACATTCGCCCCAACCCTCTCCATCATTCTCGCTTCTCTCAGATGGAATGGTAGGCCAATTTAAAGGTTACAATAGCCGCATTTCCACTGACGGGCCAGCGCGAGTTTTTTTTTTTTTAAAGCCCTTTCTAAAATTAAATTTTAAAATAGCTTAAAAATGGTTTAATTTATTTGTATTGTATATACCTAAATTGTTATAGCTTTTGTTTGTTTTATATTGCTGTATTTATTTAATGTGATTTTATTATATCCGATATTTGTCTTTAAATGATTTCAGTAGCCTATAGCTTATTTTATCTTGATATATGACACCACAAAAGTGAACACGTAATTTGTAAAGTTTTGTCTTTTTGTTGTATTCATATTTTGTATTATCTTCAAAATAAATAAAGAAAGAAAGAAACCCAGATGCTCGACAGAACTGTCAAGCAAGCGATCTTTCATCCTGTCTCTCACACACACATACATGCATCTAAAAGCACACTACGCACAAACACACCTTTTAAACTTGACAAATTCTAGACAACTGAAGTTACTGGCTGCAGTGTTTTTATTGTGGTGTAAAGATTATTATGCATTATTGAAACATCGAGGATGCAGCAAAGAAATATCACTTACTAAATTAAAACTACTTTATTATTTTATGCAACAGCCTTACTTTTAAAAGGGCAATCAAATGCAAAAAGACCCCTAGCCTATAAGGTGTTTTATGGAATAGCCTATCTTAAACTAACCAGCTATACGTTTTTTTTCCATTGTTTATTAATTTTTTTGATGCATGTACTCATGTGCGATTGGAAAACTAGTGTAATGGTGGCACTCCATCTTTCCCTCTTCCCAGCTGTCCCTCATTGGTCCAAGGCAGAGTCTGGCCAACTTTGGCTTACAGGCCCTGCTTTGGGCATCACTGCTGTAAACTCTCTTTCTGAATCTTTGACTTGCTTGCAAAGTGTATTGTACTTTGTGATTATGCTTGATCTTTCTTTGGTACTATTAAAACCATCACGTCAAACCTGTAGCTTTTTATAGTAATTTGCATTTTAAATTGCAATTTTAATCAGATTTTTTTCACAATTAGATTTTTTTTCTTTAAATTGTGCAGCTCGTTATCTTCTGTGGAAGTGAATTTTATATGCTTTATTTTGTAATAAATTTGTACATTTTTCATCCTGGTGTTTTGGCAGATTGGCTTCAATACAAACTATTTTAACAAGTTCTAAAACTTATACTACTTTATAGTATATAATCTGCAGAATTAATAGATGATGATATGATTTTCATGCACACTTTTTTTCAGTAAAGCAGGTTCTGTTTTAGTAGTAAATCTCCAGCACATGTTTGCAGATGGAGCAGCATTTACTTCTTAGAGTCGGAGTTCACTGACAAGCTTCGCAATAAAGCGCACGGTTTAATCAAGCAACAATTAAATTGAAGATAATCATTCTACAATTATGTGAAGCTCCTCAGTGAACGGTGGCTCTGTGATGTAAATATGTCTCCTACATCTAAAAAAAACGTGAAAATACCACATTAAATTGCATGGTTTTTACTCCAAACTCACTTCATAACTTCAGTTGAGGTATTGAAAGCAGTACATCTGAGAAATAATGTTGTAGTTGTCACATTGAATCAACAGAAGCAGTCAAATCTTTATTCAGCAGCCTCCATAGGCTTTTTCCACACTATTGGAGTTTGGCACAAGAGAGCACCCTCTGACCTTCAAATGATGATAAAGTTCATTCTGGTCACCATGTGTTCATAATGGGAGCAGCCAGTCTGATGTGACGAGGACATGTAACTATTTTACGTTTTTTCAGTTTAATGGCTAACTCATATAAATTCATACAAGTTCAGTCATGAAAATTATATGAATTAGATCATATGAATTAGCCACTAAATCAAAAAGTTACGAATTGCCATGAGATAACGTTGCACAAAAACCAACTGTAATCACAAATGTAAGATTTACATGGTGGCTGGTTTCTAGCTGGTCATTAACTTATCTAAGCAGGTCATTACTTGGTTAACGAGCTACCATGCTCCAACAACCAGTTTAATCACTAATTGCAGACATGTTGCTGATCTGAAATTGTCTACTAACAGCTTAATCCAGCTAGAAACCATTATGTATTCTTTTTCTTTCGCAGTCTTGTTTGGGTGTTCTATGTGATTGTTAAGATGTACTACATGTTGTTGCCAAGGTGTTCTGGGTGGTTATTTTTAAAAGGTGCATGAGTTGAAGTCTGTAAAGCTAATCTGAGCATATTAAGCACAACGAGGTCTAGAAGCCTCGAGTCCATATGATAAAATGATTCTGCTTGCACATTTTTCTCATTTTATGTTTTGTTTAGTTGTTTCATTGAAGCTGATTTTGCATTGTAAGGATTCATTTTTTTCCATATAATGTTTTTTTTTTTATTTAACTTTTTTTTCCCCAGAAGTGCTGAGCGCTTGCTCATCTTAAACTTACTATCTAGTGTGCTTTCTGTCATTTTTAAGGTGTTCTGACTCTGAGTTTCTTTTTATATTGGTATGTTACTCTCAAAACTGCAAAAGTCTGCAAAACCTCTTCATCTGAGCATGTTTGAGCTCATGTCAGAGCACCAAAAGCCATGCATTTACTTAAAAAAATTGCTGTTACTGTGCATGTTTCTAATTAAAAGATAATTGTAAAGCAAATTAAATTCTTTTTTTAACAAACAAGTTGGAAAGGTCAGTCAAAAATATGCATATCCAATTAGTGGCCTAGAACCTCTGCTAAATTCTAAATATCTGTATTAATTTAGCATCACAACATGTGTTTGTTTTACATTTTCCCAACATCCCTGAGTACTTTATTCCCAGTTTAAATGAGGTTTTATAGAATTTAAATGGATCAAAAGTTTTCAAATCCCCACAGTACAAAAAAAACCTGCCCTTATTTTTGATCTAAAGTCAGAGAAGCGTCTCAACCTTTTGTGAAATTTTTTTTTTGTACAGTATTGATTCAGTTCCAGTCCGCCAGCTCTGTGTTTGTAGTCTGATTTGCTCTTACCAGTTTCACCAATCTGAGTCTCGTTCTCTCCGTCTTATCTTCCTCCTGTCTGATTGTCACTTCCTTTGTCTGTCTTGCCTGTCTGTGTCTGTTTCTCTGTCTCTGCTCACTCTCCCTCTTCTGGCCTAAATAAGGAGAGAAGTGTTTGTTTCTTTTGAAGTGTGAGAGCCAGTATCCCGCAGTACTGCACTGCAGGCCACGGCTCACTCTTTCATTCCGCGCTCGCTTTACTCCACTGGATGAGCTTTAGCAAGGCTGTTTTCTGAAGAGCCGAGCAGCTCCAGTGTTGGTCTCGACTGAAAGAGTCCAGCAGGGTGTTCTTCATCCATCAAGCTGTTTACCCTCTGCACTTTTTGCTGTGAAGCTCTTCTGGTTATTTAATGACAGAAACTTAGTTTTTTTTTTTTTAACTGAAGATTTACTGTGCTCAGCATAAATGAGTACAGCCTATTTTTTTAAAAATGAATATTTTTATCCATTTCTCAGTGAATAGGCAATGTATTTTGGTGCATTTAAACAAAACAGAACTCCAGATTTGGCTTCAGTACTGACTAATCTAATGTATATGCACAAATATAAAATTGTAGCGCATTCTGTTAAAGATATTTATTCAAAAGATAAATTTATGAGGGGTGTACTTATATATCCGAAGCACTGTAGTTCCAAAACTGTATGTAGTTCGTTTTTACATGGAACATAAAAGGAGAATTTTAGTTAACCCAGAAATTGCCATCATTTAAATACTTTCATATGGCTTCAAACCTGTATGATTTCTTCTCTGAGGAACTTTGAGGGGAAATGAATTTTGAGAGAACTTTTTTTATAATTGGCTCATAAAAATGATAGTTTTGTTAATTTTGTGGTAAGTTTTATGAACATGCTTTTTTAAATTATTTAAAAATATTTAGTTTGTCATAGAGATTTAAGTTAGAAAGAGGAAAAAGTAAAATAACTTTAAATGGCATGTTGTATCTTTATTCAATTAAAGAAAACTTTTATTTTGACAGGTTGTTGTAAACCAGTGACAAAAATGTAAATTTTTCCAGTAAAATGTACATTTAAAAAAGTAATAATTATAATTATTATTGGTAATTTTATTGCTAGTATTATCAATATTAATTATTATTATTATTATTATTATTATTATTATTGTTGTTGTTGTTGTTGTTGTTCTTCTTCTTCTTCTTCTTCTTCTTCCTCTTCCTCTTCTTCTTTTACTAATAATAATAATTATTAATAATGATGATGATGATAATAATAATGATAATAATAATGTATGTTTAGGAGATAATTGCACAATAATTCTACCATGTTTGTTGATAACTACAATATATTTACCTGGATTAAATCCAGAAGAATGTACACAAATCTGTGGGGGGAGGGGAGGGGGTAGTAATAATAAATTAATAAACTGAATTTGGAGGGGAAAAATTAAAATGTATTTCATATGGCCTTAAATATTTCAAGTCACCTGAAGCCATATGAAAATTCAAATGAGAAGCAGTCAGTAAAATAAGTAATTTTGTTAATTTTGAATGCTAAATATTTATTCTGTAACAACTTGTTACCAGCTAAATATAATGTATAGTGATTATTAATTGATAAAAAAAGACTAGCAAAACAAATGACAAACATGACAACATATTCATTATCCAGTTTCTGAACTTAACACAGTTAATCTTACATAAACACTGTTTTACTAGAAGCCTTCATTGAACTCTTCTATTTTCTTCCTGTTTTCTATGTCAAACCAAAATGGCTCTCACCTTTTCTTTTTTTTCTTTTCTGTTTTTTTTTTTTTTTTTTTTTTTGGCCAGATGATATCACCAGTTTGGGAAACTATAGTCGTCATGGGTGTTGATTTGACTCTGCTGCCATCTTTTGGGCAAAATGAGATGAAACTGTTCATAATTGCTGTTCTGAGCTCTTCTGTTTGTTCTGTGTTGCAGCTGAACTGGAGTTTGTGCAGATCGTGATCATAATCGTCGTGATGACTGTGATGGTGGTGGTGGTCGTGTGTCTGCTCAACCACTACAAACTCACCACGTGGTCATTCCTGAGCCGGCCGAGTCAAGCACAGAGTCAGGATCTCTCTCTGCAGCCGGTAAGATCCAAACACTATCTCAAGGAACAATCTTCGTTCAATACTTTCACAAACTTCCCCCAAAAATTTCAAAATGGTGTATTACAACTTTGTTAAAAGCATGGCTGCTGCTACTAAGCTTAGTCTCTTTTTTGTTTAATAAAGTGATCGTCGTACTCACTCACTACAAACTGATGGATTTTTGTTTTTTACACAAAAGAAGAATGCGGGAGCTGCTGATTTTCATTTTTTTTTTCCACTATGAAAGTCAATGACTTCCAGTTTTCAATGTTCTTAAAAATATCTTCTGTGTTCTATGAGGGAAAAAATGGAACCACTTGAGGGTGAACAAATGAAGAGTATTTAAAAAAAATTAATATAATAAAATAATCGTGTTTTATTGTAAGCCTTTTGAAAACTGGCTACAAAGAGGAGTTTTTTGAAATGATACCATTATGATCTCTTTCTACACTAATTACAAAAGTACAAAAATAGACCTAAACGACAATAAAACTTGCACATGTATTTCATCAGGGGTGCCCACACCTTTATCAGCATGTCAGCTAATTATAAAATGACCAAGTCAAAATGATATACCTAATAAAAAAATGTAAAAGATATATTTATTTATAAACGTATTAAGAATTCTGTATTTGTACAATATATATATTAATGTACCTTGCATAACTGTATGAACCCATATTGTGCCGTAGCCTACAACTCTGTTTACATATTTTTATCATTACCTTACTCTGATGACTTGCACTGAATGGAATCAACCAGGGAAGCATAGTTCAGACAGTAGCTGCTGATAGCCAGCCTCAAGCACAGTAACATCATGATCATTATGATTATATTGTTTTATATTTTTATCTATTTTATATTTTTTATTTTATATATTATGATTATATCATTATGATCATCAGTCATTGTGGAATTATTTTTGGACTGTGCCAACTTCGCTAAGTGCTGCAAAACTGTATAGCCACAATAGTTTTGCAGCACTTAGCAAAGTTGACCTGGTTTTACGCACATGCGTGGTTACCCATGCATCAAAAATGGGCAGATATCAGACTGGCTGCCTTGTATGTCAATTAAACGACAAATTTCAGTGAGGATGAATTATTGGCTGTCGTCTATTTTTTAATGTCATGCGGTCTACCCACACTACCTTTTGGGATCAACGTGTTGGGCACCCCTGTATTACATATTTAATCTATAAGCAACTTGACAACCAAAACAACAGTGGCGGACTACAAATCCAGACAGTAGCTGCTGATAGCCAGCATCAAGCACACTACCAAATGATCATCAGTCATGGTGGAATGATATTTGGACTTAAATGGGCCAACTTCGCTAAGTGCTACAAACTATAGCTGCTATATACATGCGTGGTTACCCAGGCCTCAGTAATAGTCAGATATGTCAGCGCCAGCAGCCTAGTGGTACTGTGCGCCAACATGAAGCAACGAGGTGCTCACAGCGACCTTAGTTTGATTCCCGGAACGAGGTCCTTTGTTGATCCTTCCCCTCTCTCTGCTCCCAATGCTTTCCTGTCTGAAATATCTACTGTCCTTTAATAATAAAGGTGAAAAACCCCTAAAAAATTATTATAAGAAATAGTCAGATATCAAACTGGTGTATGTCGATTCAAGCGATACATTTCAGTGAGGATGGATGATAGGCTGACGTCTATTTTAATGAAATGCAATCTACCCACGCTACGTTTGCGATCGACATATTGGGTACCGTTGTATTACATGTTTAATCTATTAGCAACTTGACTACTAAAACAACAGTGGCGGACTACAAGACTCAATGTGCATAGGTGAATAGTGTCTCTTTTCAGAGTGACATCGCCACTTTGGCTACATTGCCATCTAAAATCAAAACTTTCAAAAAGGCAAACAATAAATTATTCCTCATTTTAGTGAATTGTTGTCTTATAAGCATAGTTATATATGATACTTTGAAAATATGATATTGTGACAAGTGCTTTAAATAAAAACAGCATGACAAAAAAAAATTAAAAAACAAATAGCAAATTTGATGTGGCATGAAAACAAGAAACAGAAATAAGCTTTATATTTTTGGAAATCGGCAGCAGAAAAGGAATCGTTAAAATGACAAATATTAAAACTACAAATCTTTATTGTGTGTAATAGAGGAACGAGATTAAGTAACTGTGGAAAACGTTTTAAATGTCCTTGAGCTGAAAAACATCTGATCTTTTTAAAAAACAAGCAAATGAAGCCTGAAATCATATTAAATTATGAAGTCTTTCTTACATGCACTCCTAGTCCAAGCCATGAAATAAAACATCAATATCTAATAGTGAGTAGATGAATTTTTCACCTGCTGTGTCATCTCCAAGCCTTGTTTGCTACATCTTATTCGGGTGAGCTTTTATCTTGCAAAAGAAGAAAACAGCAGGGCCTAAAAGTCTCAAGTGGTGTGTGCGCGTGTGTGTGTGCGTGTGTGTGTTTTCGTGTGTGTGTGCGCGTGTGTGTGCGTGTGTGTGTGTGCGTGCGTGTGTGTGCGTGCGTGTGTGCACGTGTGTGTGTGCGTATGTGTGTGTGTGTGTGTTTACTTCTGGAAAGGTCTTCTTTGTGTCTAATCCAAAATAACTTGCAGCAGTGCAGTGAGCTGATGAAGGCAGGGCTGGCATGTGTGGGTGTCTCTTCTCACCCGAGGGATGATTTTCAGTACATTTGCGCAGTTTAGAACCAGACAGACAGCAGGAAATTAAACATACATCATTTGTTACTTAAAAAAGACAACAACAGCAAAGCAGGGGATGTTTAGAGGTTACTGTATGTACTCTCTACAACATGTAGGTCTTGGAGTTGATCATAGAGTGTTGGTTAGGTTGCTCAAAAAAAAAACATAAAATAGCAATATACTTTACATGCCAATTTGCAAATAACAGCTGCACATATAACGTTGAATATAGTAATATTTTTTTTTATTTATTTTATATTTTATTTATAGTGATAATTTGTATATCACTATTTACTCCCATTTTTTTATTATATTTATGATCTGTTTTTTTGTCCTTTCTCTGTCATTTTGTTGGGCAGTAGAAGCTCTGTCCCAAAAACAAATTCCTTGTATGTGTGAGCATACCTGGTAGGGTTCGGTTGATGGATGATGCCTTCATGCATTGTCAATCGCTGATAGACGTCACAACGCTGAGCCAGCATTGCGATCCTTTGCCCCACCCCCATCACAGCAGCAACCTGCTCGCGAAAAATGCACACGGCTCCGTTTACACTAATACATTTTAAAATGGCATTTTAGACTGAAAACAATCCACGTCCACACTGGTGTTTCATCTAGCATTTCCAAAAAAGCCCTCTGTCCACACTCTACTGATGAAAACACACATCACATGATCACACACACGAACACACACTGTCATGCGCTGCAGCATATGCGCACGTCTGAGCTCCAGCAGTCAGTGGGTGCTTTGAGCACAAATCCCCAGAGAGCAGTGCACGTCATACAGTTTATCAAGGATGTACCACTGGATCGTGTCTCACTATAGTTGCTAAACATGATTTTTAATTAATCTTGTCTCTAGTTAACGACTCTTCTGTCTTTTGAATCTGTCAGGTAACGTGTTACAGCGTCAGTACACTGCTTCAATCTTTCGCTTTCACACTTGTACTTAGTAATTTTAGCGAAAACCTCAGATACTGTTGGTTCTATTGGTTCCTGTTGGTTGTGCACCTTTTTTTACAATCCAAGTTTGTCAACGCCATTATAACGACACAGATCACTCTGCCTATTCATGCCAGAGTTCTAAAAAAAGTTCTGAAATGAAAAAGTCATTGACAGGTGGTAATTTGTGTGTACCTTATCTTTATTTATTTATGATTTGGTTATGGGTAAAACAAGGACCATTTGGGTCAGGTTGTTCAAACAGTAAGTTACAAATAACTTATTAATTATGAATTGATTTATTATTCATAAATAATTAATTCACCACAACCCATGATGACAATGCCATCATCCATTGCGATGTTTCACATTAGACATCGTACAATGCCAAATTGGTCGACATAGCCCAACTATAATACCTGGCAATACAGCTCTTTCTGATTCTGATCATTAAAATAGTGTTTGTTTTAATTTTGTTATTACTACTTTGTATGAAAAGTCATTTTAGTTATTTTTTCAGGACTACTTAACCTCTACTTCTTTCCCATAAAACGCAATAATAATCTAAATTAAACTCATTTATTTCTTTAAGAATGTAGCAAACATACCCCTAACAGTGATTACTTAAAAAAATAATGCTTAAGCAGTTTTGAAACAAACGCAACATTCTTTAGTTAACAGACAGAATTAGGAGCCTATCGCATCAAACAAACTTTTCACTGCTGATAATGCAAGGTGCCTTTTTTGTTGATTTTAGAAAAGAGCAGTGCACTGCACTTTTTTATGTTACTACACTGTAAAATCCAACAGTCAACTTTATCAAATGAAATTAGTGTAGTTAACTCAAAATTTACTGAAAGGTAATTCTACTCATTTGAAAAAAGTTTAGAACTCGTTGTTAAAGGTAATGAGTTCATTACCTGATTACTTCAACTTAATTTGAGTAAGTTCACTGTACTCATATAGATCAGTTTTTTTTACTGAAATGGTTTGTAGCAATTGGTTTTCTCAAACGGTTTGAGTTGCCTTAACTGATTGGGTTTTACAGTTCTCAGTTGGTTTGAGTTTTTACTTATTGGGTTTTACTGTGCTGAAATTGCTTCGTTTACTCAACTGAATTAAATTCACAGTACTAATTAGGATTAGTTTTTGAACTTAAATGGTTTGTTGCAATTGGTTTCTGCGCACAGTTTGAGTTGCCTTAACTTATTGGGTTTTACTGCGTAGGCAATTTTTGTATCAATGGTCTTGGTGCAGGAGCATGTGACATCAGGTGCTTTTTCTGCACAGAGTTGACTTTTTTTTATTTCCAACTGCAGGCACACAGTGTGCAAAAACATGAGGTGCAGCAGGTTGAAATGCTGGGCACCGGTATGCATAAGCAGTGCACTGTTAATAGAATTTTATTTATTTATTTTTTTTAAATTGCACCTTTTAATCTTTAACCTTTTTAACTAAAATGAACCTTTTTTGTATTTGTTAGTTTTAAAGCAATCATAGTTTATATATACAATATATCGTCATTGACTGATTTCTTAAACTCATTGCACACTTCAACTGAAATGTTTGCCTGGATTTTTCAATCATGCAAAAATAAATACAACCTCACATTGTGTTAATCTTGTTTACACACTGCCTCTGATTTTATTAATTGTTTTTTAAATTTCATTTTAATATACTATATTTTATTTCATTGAGCAATTAGAGCGGTATCTGACTATTTCGAGCCACCATATAAGCGAAGGACAAAATCTCTAATGGCGTTTGACAAATGAATCCACTTTGTCTCATAGCACATAGCACTTTTTCAAACAAAGTGCAGAATATAAAGACAGATTGTTGAGAACACTGCTTTAGCTTGTATGCTGGTTTCAATGCCTGGTGTACAACTTTCCCCTGCCGCAGTTTGGCATGTGGCTTGTCCATACCTTTGATATACTGCCAGTCTTTTGTTCCGGATCAATTCATTCAAGAAAATTGTTGATGTGACAGCAGTATCACAAGCAAAGTATCAAACTAAGCTTTAATTTTCAAAATAAGTTTTAAATCTCAGCTTTGAGGTGGGTTCTTCTTCTCTGCGAAATATAACAATTTAAGGATGTCAGGCTCGGTGTACAAAATTTTCTGAGCATGAAAAGTTTTTAAGCTAGCAAATACAAAGAAATGCAAATGAAAATTTCAGGCTCAAGTGTGCAAAGGCTTTCATTGTTTTTTACAAGGCTCATTGTAATTATATCCTTCATCTTACATTTTTGTGAAACCACACTAAAGCACTTTAGCATACATTTGACTGCAGTTTCTAGGTAAAATGAAAGTAACGAGGCAGTGTAACAGCAACAGCTTTTGTTCTTTTTCTTTTATGGACAAAAAAGTATTAATTTTGTACAGTTCTTAACCAAATAACCAAATAAATACCACAATACAACTTAACAGTGTCTATGATTTGTAACTGAATATGTTTGCCTCGTTTATCTATCTCCATATGGACAACTTTTCTGCCATGGTCAGTTTGCTCAGTAGCTCACCTTGTACAGTGTTGTACTTGTGATGTAGTTCCACAAAGAGATAAAAGCTATGCAAAATCAAGGTAAAATATGTGGCTGTGATGGACTTTCTCTCACATTTTGCTTTCGAAAACACTTGGGTTGGCTTTAGGGAAGAGTTTAGATTATTCATCATTAGCAAGGTATTTGTATGACAAGTCCTGCCTTTTGTGGATATGTACTGACATATAACAAAACGTATCCTAAGTTATGCATTCTATATTCGCAAAAAAATGTCAATAACTACTGTAGTTACACCCAACAGAGATAATTTTAGTACAATTTTGAAAGAAAACTGAAAGCTACTGTAGGGCAGATATGCAGAATATGTAATTAAATGGCAGTGTATTTTAGTGGTTTGAGAAGCAGTGTGTTTTGGAGGAGACACAATGGCAGTGTTCCTCTGAGAGCAGGGCATGTTGATTACATTCAGCAGTTCTGTCTAGACGCCAGTCAAAGTCAGACACGCGCAGCACCCGGGAGAGAGAGCGACTGCTAAATGACGGACACTTTTCATTCTCATTCATGAGGGAACGCAAGGGGGAGAGGCGTCTGGGAGAATCACACTCACTGCTTTTGTTTAGGGTTTTTAATTGGAATGGATATATAGGACCACAGAGCATCATTAGACTACAACAAATAGGCTCTGTCTGATTTTTCTTTTGAATGGGTTTAACAATTGGGTTATTTATTTATTGTATTTTTTCATTCATTTATTAATGTCATCAGTGCGGTTTAATTAAAGATGTATAGGCTCAGAGTATATGTATATGGATCCTGTATCTGATATATGGATTTAAACATGTTCTTTGTTATAGTTTTTTCTATAAATATTTTTTTTTCTTCATGCTATGTTGTTATAGTTTTATTTTTGTTGATTGTTATATTTTAATCATGCTATAATAATAATTTTATAGTGAGTATAACAAATCAGTTTTATGTGTATTTTTTACTGTTTTACATCCAATTTAAATAGATACAGATAATTGCTGGAGTAACAAAAGTGCTATATATATATATATACAAAGAGAGAGAGAGAGAGAAGGGTGGATGGACGGATGGATAGATAGATAGTATAGTTTTATTTATAATTTATGTAGCTGACACAAACACAATTAACACGCAACTAACATAGAGATGCACTTACTTGAAACAAAGACTTTTACAAGACATCATAAAATGTGTTTTTTCTTGTTGGTGGTGTTGGTGGTGGCAAACCAATGTAGAAGTATAGTTTTTTTTCTCCATATTTCTATCAAAACAAGAAACTTTGTCACAGCTGTGAGCCTTGATTAGCAGCTTGTTGACTGCAGGTGATATCGGGGAAGGGGCAGAGCGTTTGATTGGATTGAAAGTACAAAACTATTTTTAAAGTTGAATTTTAGCTGTAAAATATATTTGCATTACCATACAGTAAATGACCTCACAACTAATAACAGTTAAGTTATAACAGTTTAGTATTCAGTATATTACCATGGGAAAAGGTTCAGGCCACCATCAGCTTTTTAGAGATATTTTCACCATTCCTTTTTTATTTCAAAGATGTTTCAAATGTATGTTTAAAATTATGTGTGTGTATGTATGTGTGTGTGTGTGTGTGTATATATATATATATATATATATATATATATATATATATATATATATATATATATATATATATATACATACATACATACACACACACACACACACACACACACACACACACAGGGCTTTACATTAACACCCACTTTGGCTGGTTGGAAAAATTTTTACATTGTAGTTTTCTTAAAGCAGGGTTCGACCATAAGGATTCCCCAATATGCATGCAATTGTGATCTTAGAATCGAGAAGCAGCACGACTGACAAAAATAACTGTGTTCCCGCGAGCAAAAGCAGGTGAATACCTTATGAGAGGATAATTACTCCTCGCACAGCACAGGTGATGTGATGCGCGCGCACCCGTTTGCTTGCGCATAACAACCGTGTGTATATAAAGCGCAACTGGTGCGATCGGTTCTCTTTAAAATAGACTAGACAAAAAGCAATGCTCGTGTAAGCAGCAAACCTTTCGTAAGCAGCAGTAGCAGTCACTGCTTTCGTTTTAATTATTTTCAGGCACGTGATCATCCTTTCATTATCACTCGTGGTATGTTTTTACCTGCTTTCTTTTGCTTACAGTTATTTTGTTAACATGGTTTAATTATCATACTTTGCAATAACATTGCTTTAATATGAGATTATCTCCCCATTTATGTGTAGTAAACGCTGATCTGGGACCTTTAGCCAGGACAGATTCGTGTGCATATTTTAGATACATGACAGTAGATCTTCTTAAATGTCAATTTAAAAAAAAAGAAAAGTTTTGTTGAATAAAAAGTGCAAGTATACAACTATATATATTTGCTTGTTTTGACACATTTAAAACGTGTGGCTATGAAATAATTATTTCTTTTTGGTGTGGTCAGAGATAAATTTGGTCAATCCTTAATTTTGAGCCAATTGCGATGCGACACAAGCCATTTGCTCGTGCACAGTGAGCAAACTCAAACACAACACACACAAACAGTGAAATAAAAGAGGAGGCATGTGGACAACACAACATCTAAATCAAGTCATTTTAGCATGTCAAAGTCACATTTATTAATACAAAATATATTTTCCAAGCGACAAAATTGTGGCTAGTGCAAATTGCAAGTGGCTAGTAATGCTGGAAATGTACTAGCCACAGTGGCTGGTGATCAAAAAAGTTAATGTAATACTAATATATAAAGATAATACTGAGATTATGTACCGAAAGCTGTATTTTCTCACAATAGTAGTTAAACACACTTGGGAAACTTTGCCATGATGACAGTAAATAATATTTGACTAGATATTTTTCAAGATACTAGTATTCAGTTTAAAGTGACATTTAAAGGCTTAACATTTGAGATTTGACAACTAGCCTGTGTAAATGAGATTTTCATATATAATAAATACTATTCTGGATTCTCTGAATGTATTTAAACATTGATTGTAAATATCCCTCTTAAATACTACAACCAGGTGTTAATAACATCATTATTCATTATAAATAGTCATTTCAGAGGATTTTTCTGCAGCACTTAACAGTAAGACTAAATATTCATTCATCTTTGTGTCAGTATCAGTATAAACTGATGTTTAAAACCCCAAGTCGTCCAGATTAAGCCTGTCTGTAATATCTCTTTTCCTGTCTTATTTTGCAGGAGGGCTCTTTGTGGCCATCAGATAATGGGCTGAGACAAGGAGCATCTGAGGTAAGCCTGCGTGTGTCTGTTTTCTGTCTTGTCCTCTAAAAGGACCACTGAACGCTTGCTGTTCTCCTCATCTAAATAGCACGTCTGTCTGTAACAAGCAGTGGCGTCTCCTCAAGTGTGTGTCGTCTCTGTTTCTGCTCAATGTAGGCGTATGTGAGTCTGTGTCAGTGAGCGATAGCACTTCAAATCTAGCAAATACAGGCATATATATTCATTGTTTGTATGCTGGTGTGGGGGTTTGTCTTTCTCTCTCTCTCTCTCTCTCGCCCTCTCAGCAGTTCATTAATCTCTCAGCCTCCTCTGGCAGCGTCTAGACGGCCGTCTGAGAGGCCAGACACTCAGGGTCTGTCTGCGCAAATTGCCTCCCATCATCAGCCTCAAACCGGCTAATGTAAACGCTGGGCCCTGCGGTAATGAGGCTGATCTCATTGGCCATTTCGGATTTCACTCATATGGAGGACATTTTATCAGCTGTGCATTTGCATACTAATGTCTGGACTGGGGACTGTTAAGCAGAATCTGTGGACTTTTTATATTTGCTGTTTTTATGCAGAAAAACATATTTGGATTTCAGCTGGATAATTTTGAGTGTGTAGGAACTAAAACTTTAATACGATAAGGTTTAAAATGCAAATTCAATTGTTTAGATTTTCAATATTTTATTTCTAAATTTTTTTGTTTGGTGAACAAATCTACAGTAGCTATGTAATACATCCACCAAATGATAGAAACATATTATTTAAATTTTATTTTGTATACTGTATAAACAAACTAAACAGCTAAATATGTACACATTTATTGAAATGACAAATAAAAATTCTTTAAAAAAGACTGGATAAATATACAGTTGAAGTCAGAATTAGTAGCCCCCATTTTATTATTTTATTTTTTAAATATTTCCCAAATGATGTTCAACAAAGCAAGGAAATTTTCACAGTATGTCTAATAATATTTTTTTCTTTTGTAGAAAGTCTTATTTGTTTTATTTCGGCTAGAATAAAAACAGTTTTAATTTAAAAAAAAAAACATTTTAAGGTCAGTAATATTAGCCCCTTTAAGCTACATTGTTTCCCATAGTCTTCAGAACAAACCATCGTTATACAATGATTTGCCTAATTAATAACCCTAAACTGCCTAGTTAACCTAATTAACTTAGTTAAGCCTATAAACGTTATTTTAAGCTGTATAGAAGTGTCTTGAAAAATATCTAGTCAAATATTATGTATTGTCATCATGGCAAAAAATTAATTAATCAGTTATTAGAGATGGGTTTATTAACCTACTATGCTTAGATATGTGTTCAAAAAATCTTCTCTCCGTTAAACAGAAATTAAGAAAAAAATAAACAGGAGACTAATAATTCTGACTTCAACTGTAAATATTTTTGCGCATTTACATACTGTAAGCAAATAGATGTAATGATATGGTCAAGAGTGTGTGGAAATTGACAGATTCTGTGTGGGCCTACTTTTAAATTGTTTGAAGAGATTACAATTATGTAACAAACAATAAACAAATTTCGAGAGGATCACGTGCTTATGATTTATTACAGCTGATCTTGCATTTACTTATCATGATCTCCCAATCATATGATTCCTCATTTACTATAAATAAACACAGTTTCAGTCTATAGTTATCTTCGTATGGAAGACAGCATGCCAAACAAGCTTATATTAAATCATCAGTGTGAACTCTTGAATATTTTTTTAATGTTTTTTCTTTATTTGTTTGTTTATTTTTGAAGGTTTATTCACATAGTTCTATTTGAGCACCTGAATTATTTATATATATATATATATATATAAAATGTTAGGTCAATAGTAGGATTTAGTATTTAATTTTTTTTTAATTGGCTTAACAAACCAGTTATCCAATGACTTGCCAATTTCACCTAACTTGCCAACTGTTTAACATATAAGCCCTTAAATTGCATTTTAACTGAATACTAGTATCTTGCAAATTAACTAATAAAATATGATGGACTCTACAGCATGGATGAGATCTAATTCGATCCTACTGAGTGGGTTAATTTGCTTAAAGTAATTGAGTAATAATTACATAATTAAAATTTGGTATTTAAAAAAAAAAAAGCATAAAATTTTCACTGAAGGGCTAATCATTTTGCGATCAACTTCATAAAATATGATACAGACTTTTATTTTGTAAGTGCTTTAATAATTTGATAATTTAGCACTACAAAGAGAATAAAGCACTTCCAGTGAGTTGCTGTGACAGAATAGGGGTCTTATATCATCCTGAAGGGGTGCACTAACAACCCCTGCATGCACATTATGCTGCTTATTACCTGGCTTCATTCATAAATAAAATGATTGGACATGAATTATTGATTTAAGTCAGTGTTTTATTATCTCTCTAAGCACAAAGAGTCCACAACGAAAGCAGCTGAAAACAAGGAGCATTTGAATGAGACGGGTGAACGGGTTCACAGTAGATTTAAGGATACAGTTCACTCATACCACTATTACACAGCACTTCACGTTATAAATAACTGAGGACATTTCAATACAATCAATAACTTTCAAGACACAAAATGGCAGCAGATCTGTTTTGAGATCAAATTATAGAGTCAGTATTACTAGAGAAGACCAGTCACATTAAAATATTTCAGAGAACCGTGTAAAAAAACAAAAGGATAGTTCCCCAAAAATGAAACTTCTGTTATCAATTACTCATGCTTAAGTTGTTTAAAACCTATGTGAGTTTCTTTCTTTTGTTAAACACAAAAGAAGATATTTTGAAAAACTGCTGGTAGCTGGGTCCCATTGACTTCCATAGTAATTATATTCCTATTATTGAAGTCTGATACTACGTATCAGTATTTTTCAAAATATCTTCTTTTCTTTGCCAACAGAAGAAAGATACTCAATGTTCATTTTCATTTTTCATTTGGTATGATGGCACATATAAATATCTAGAGGGACAATATGATGACATTTCAACCCATAACCCAGGCTGTCTATAAAAAATTCAACAAAGATGTTTCAGGTTTGTACTTCTATGATGACACTGTTAATGGAACTTCGTCTTTTTTATGACACCTTTTATGACACCAAATTTTAGTTCCCCTAAATGGGATAATAAAGTTTAGTCTAAGTCTGAACTTGAAGCTTGCGCATTTAAACCCTCAAAACTAATATAAATTATGATCAAGCATTGAATTTTACCGTTGAATGCCAATATCTATGGCTGCACGATATACTGGCATGGAAATTGCATTTGTGATATAGCAAAAGCTGCAATAGTCATGAACATCTTGTCAGGGAAGCACGGTTGTGTGATCAGTAGTAAATCTCCAACTAAAGGCCAGAGGGCGCTCTCATAGGTTTTCTGAACACCAAATACACTCCAGAGGAAACCCAGAAATCCCTATAGCAGTTGGTGAATTAACAGAAGATATAACTGCTTACATTGTTACTTAACTGCAAACACATGACCATGACAACATAAGGTTTATCTTAGTTCTTATTACGATCATTATTTTTCTGAAATTTAGTATATAGTGATGCAATGCCTTTTCAGTGTCACTGCTTGGAATACTATGCAATTCTGTGTAAGAAACCACATCATCTCACAGAAGCAGCTATTTCAAACACTCAACTGAAGTTATGAAGTGAGTTACGAGTAAAATCATCATTACACATGGGATTTTCATGTGCTTTTTCAGATGTAACGCTAGCAGAATTTACTACAAAGGATTGTAGTTCATGGAAACACTGCGCTTACAATCAGCTCTTAATAATGCTGAATGATTCCCTGCGATTGAATATCAGATGCTTAAATTGCATTCAATCTTTTGCTAGTAGCTTGTCAGTGGAAGTTAACTACAGAACCAGCTTTAATGACAAATGCACACAACAATTACAAGTATCAAATTCTAAGCTTCTGATGTTATGTCCTGCCATTGTCTACTTTTAATCTCGAATTCTCATGTGATTTCTGGCATTCTCTCTTCTCTCCAGGTGGTGTACGCTCCTCAGCCGAGGGACCGTTTCACAGCGCCCACTTTCATGCAGCACAACCGCTTCAGACGTTTCCAGCCTACCTACCCATACCTGCAACACGAGATTGACCTGCCGCCCACCATCTCTCTGTCAGACGGAGAGGAGCCACCACCGTACCAGGGCCCCTGCACACTGCAGTTGAGAGACCCCGAGCAGCAGCTGGAGCTCAACAGAGAGTCAGTGCGGGCGCCGCCAAACCGGACCATCTTTGACAGCGACCTCATCGACATGCACAGCTCAGCCGGCGGCGGCGGACCGAGGCCTCCTAGTAGCAACTCTGGGATCAGCGCGGCCAGCTCTAGTACACACGGACGCATGGAGGGCCCTCCGCCTGCTTACAGTCAAGTGATCGGGCAGCACTCGGGCATTGTACTTTACCTCCAGCAGCACAGCAATAACCCGCCCGTCACTGTGCAGACTCCGCTCACAGGCCGGACAGATCCCAACAGCACAGAAAGCACAATAGTGCTGAGCAAAGACCCACTGAGGGAGGAGCTAGTGTGAGAGGGCGGGGCTAGCACATGATTGGCTGATCTCCATCACTCTATATAAAGGGAACGGGTTTGAAATTCCCGTGCACAGCAGCGCTTAATGCGTTTTCGCGACAACCATGTTGTTGTTTTTTTTTTTAAATAACAAATATGGAGCTGAGCTTACTAGAGAAAACATTTCATTTGTTTTCTGTCCGACCAGCTGGGCTTAAACTGGAGTTTACGCACTGCCTGGAGTCTCCCACCTTTTTTATTTTATTTTATTTTTTGCTGTGTATTATGTATTGCTAACGAATTTAGAGAAGGTAATCCGTGCACAAGACAGGCGTTTTGTTGTTGTCGTTGTTGTTTTATTCCCCTTAAATGCCCCGTTTTCGATCAATCCACACGTGACGCACTAGCTGTGTGGATAGAAAATGTCCTTTTTTATTTTTATTATTATTATTATTATTATTTAAAGACCGAGATCTGTGCAGCATGAACAAAAACTAAAATGCGAAAAAGGGTGAAAATCCAAATCTTAGTGCCAAGGCTTATGCGGAAGGTGTCACGGGGGCGACGACTGTCTTAAAGACTTGTTATACATCGAAATCAAAAAAACCCTTTTCTGAACTTTTGCACTATTGTTGAGGTTAATCATAGAAATTTGGGGGTGATGTATACGTGTTTACTGTTTGTACTGTCGTTTTCACCTAGATGCGATCATATGCTTGAGTGCGAGCTTTTCTAGCGGAGAGAAGTGATCTTGTCTGTCTTCAGCACAAGAAAAATCTCGGATCCAGCCTAAAATAACCTCGGTCTAAAAGAGGCACAGAATACAGAGAGTCTGCTCTGCTCTCATCTATCCTCACCACTGACACATTCAGCCGCTTTCACATACTCCAGCTGATCTCAGGTCAGTCGGCTGGAGGCGCGCTTGACATTTTGACTAAAAAAAAACTCACTTAGAGAGAGATCCAAACAAGTTTGACATGTTATGAGATTCTTGCTCATTTTTTAACAGTTTCTCCAAGCTTTTTCTTTTCAGCGCTTTTTAAATCATATTTATTATACATTTATATATAAGTAGACTTTAAATAAAATATACTTTTATATATATATAATTTTGCCTTTAATGGATTAATACATTTTTAAAAATAGCATCTTGTATGGGTCAAAGATGAGGTTTCCGGCATCAAATTACATAAACAACAAAGAGAGAACTAAAAATCCGTAAAAATTAAAAGGGTCCATTAAAAACAAATGTCTACTCAAATGTTTCTTTCTTACTCCAAAATAACTTTTATGAAAATAATGTCAAAATGTGGGTAAAGGATAGTCATTTAAAGTGATACATATATTTAAAAGAAATTAAACAACATATTTAATGTGCTTATTAAAATATCTAAAAAGATATGAGATCATATAAAATGCAATTAATTTTAATTATTAAAAGCATTTTGCTAAAAAAATGGGTGAAATTTTGGGGGTTTTAAATGATTCTTAATCTGAATGTGACACGTTTTTTTTTATAAAATTGTATGACATCTTAGTCTTCTCAAAACATGGTAAAAATAACAGATAGTAACTTTTTTACTCCAAACAAACAAAAATAAAATAGGACGTATGTGTGAGGGGATAAAAAAAAATAAAATAAAACAATTTCGTTAATATTGTTTTGAAGCTTGGAAAACCCCTTTTCGTCTTTGACCCATATACATCAATGTTGTTGTTTTTTATAGACTCTAGTGAGAAGATACTCTTAAAATAAATATATTTTCTCTTTACACTACCTGACAAAAGTCTGTAAAAAAGTTGTAAATCCCAGTTTATCCCAGCAGCAAATAATAACTTCTAGTTGATCATTTTTCCAACTAATCATCTGATGAACTGCATCCCAATCATCACAAATACTGCAGAAGACCTATTTGAATCCGCATAGACCCAAGATTCTTAAAGAAATCAATCAAGTTTGGTGAAGAAAAAATCATGGTTTGGGTTACTTTCAGTATGTGGCGACATCAACAGCCTTGTAATTCTTCCAAATTAAAAAAATTAAAAATCGTAGCATGATCATGTTTTTTTGTAAAATAAGCGTAATCTAGAGGCCTTTGTTTTTCATATAAGCCACTTCTAATACTAAATAATCAACTAGAAGTTGTTATTTGTTGTTCCTAAAACTTGGATAGGCACTTGGGCTGTCACATAGTGTAGAGTCAAGAAAATAGCATATATATGGTTATTTGGTTTAGCTGTGATTCATTTTCCTAATTGGACAAAATGTCTTTTATTCCAAGGTCAGCATTTCATCCCTTTTGCACTTTTTTTTTAATCAAAACTGAACAAACATATACACGATTTTGATTCTGTTTTATAGTGGATTTATTTACATTTACATGTTTACCAGCGCTCATTGTCCACCTCTTCCAGCCAATACCCAGATGAGCGACACATTCATTGGTGTAATCTCCTAATCAAAATGCCAATGTGGTCGTCCCTGTTTTTGCATGTCACATTTTTGAGTCCCGAACAAGAATCAATCAGGTTTCCAAAGTGGTGAAGTCAAGGGCTAATGTGATGGGCATTTTTAAAAAGAGTCGTTTTTACCCAGCTGTACTGTTGCCTTCGCTGTAACTCCGTAACCAGCTCATGCCCAAACCGCACCAGTCCTTCTTCTAATTCACAGTCAAGATCTGTCCTCCTTAGAGCGGCTCTCTGCATTCACTTTCAACACAATCATTTAGGCCCAGATAGTGGATGTAGCTCTGACCGAGAGCTCCGATCTGGTCTAGAGGTGAAGAGAAAAGCCCAAAGACTCTTCCACGCATCCCTTTAATCAGGAGACTGAAGACTGAGCCCCTGTTTTCTTAGTCTAGAACAGATGCACTTGTGAAAAGGCCATGGGGGGGTTTATTTGACTTTTATTTCCATTCGCTGGGGGTTATGGTGAAAAAAAAAAGTTTTCAAAAGCAACACACTCACCTTTATAAGCTACTCTGTTTATACTCCGAATGTTTGAGTCGGCCAATCAAAATGTGTTTGAATGCTTTTTTAATGTTTGTGTTGGTTGGCTTTATTCTTCTGCTCATGGTGGGATTTTTTTAGTTGTTTGTTTTTCTGTGTGGACAGAAGAGATATGGCGTCTGGAAACAAATGCTCCAAACCAGACTAACAGATGAACACCCTCCTCTTTATTATGTTTTCTACTGAATTTAGAACTCTAGAATGACAATAACGTTGCTAGATTTGGAATTCTAGAATCTAAACAATTGGGCTAGATTTTAAAATATTTAGAAATCTGGCAAAAATACATAGAATCATCACACTTGGATAATGTTCATCCAGTTATTTTTTCGCAGATGTATTTCTGTGAACTGCCTCATAAATCTATTTTAATTAGATTTTTCAGCCTGATCTCACGAGGAAACTTTTTTCGTTTTGTCAGTTTATTGGCTAATTCATAGGAATTTGTACGAGTTCAGTCGTATAAAAATGTACCCTAACCCCAACCGTCATTGGGTGATGAGCAAAATAGTACTAAATTGTACGAATTAGATCCTACACATTTATACGAACTAGCCACTAAATCAAAAAGTTACGAATTGCCGTGAGATTGCGTTGAATATTTATATGATGATAATAAAACATAATCAAATTTAAGGGAAAATAAAATCATGAGTCCAATCTGTTGAGGAAAGAAAATATTTTTAACACTCCGGTAAGGAATTTAACTTGTTTTTACCTAAATTGCATTGAAAAAACCCAGTCAACAGTACTGAGTATCAATTTATATGATAACTCAGAATTCTCTTCCCAACCGCTACATTTTATGAACTGAAATAACATTCAAAATAAGTAATCAAATAAAATACAACATGCAAAAAAAAAAAATTAAACATCAATTTTGCTATAATAATACAAAAAACAAACATTTACCATGAAGTTGGTTTTATTTCTCTAATAACAATGGACAGCTTTTACTTAATCTATTTGCCTCATGTGACAAATTCCACTTTAATTTACAGTAATTAGAGATCTGGAGATTTATATATTGGCCAGCCCAGTGACCAGAAATAAACATTATTGAGCATGTCTGGGGTAAGATGGAGGAGATATTGAAGATGAATTCAAAGAATCTTGATAAACTCTGGGAGTCCTGCAAGAACGCTTTCTTTGATATTCCAGATGACTTTATTGATACGTTATTTGAGTCATTTTAGAGATGTTTGGATGCAGTCCTCCAAGCTCATGGAAGTCATACACAATAATTATTCTTTTTCCACTGCATCATGACTTTATATTCTACACTGTACATTATTTCTGTTAGTGACGAGACTTTTGTCTAAGCAGAGTCAGACCTTGCTGTCCTAATTAAAAATCAAGGTATGATCGTATTTTATTTTGGTAAAATAAGCATAATCTAGAGATTCATACCTTGCAAAATACTGTTGCCAAAGGTTATTAAAAAATTAACTAAGTTTGTTTAATTGAGATGTGATGGTTTTATCATTTTTGCCAGATTTTACAAGCACATTTAGATAAAAAATTTCTAGCCGCTTTGTCATTTAATAGAAATGTTAACTCTAGAGCCTCATGCAGCTTCAGGCTAGATTTTTAATTCTAGAATTCCAGCAGTTAAGACAGATGTAGAATTGTTGTTTCGCTTGAACAGTGTCTAATGTTGCTCTTGTCTTTTAAGCACAGGCTTTGAAAGCTCCCTAATTCAGCATTGTCTAATAGCGAAAATGAACCAAGGCTACAAAGAGCAAAGCGAGAGCACAATGTCACTGCATTCAGAACTTCATCTGATCTCTGCTTTCTGTTCAACTGTCTTGATCCTTCCATTAGTCAGTTTGCTGCTCCTGCTGTTGCTGCTGCTGCTCTGCTGCTTCTCATCTCTTGCACTTTTTTTTGCTCATCTGTCCATCATCCATCCCAGTAAATGCTCCTCTTTGTCCTCCATCATTTGTTTCCATCTCAAAAGGAAGAGCTTTCTGCCGTTTTCTACTGTCCAAGGAGTTTGCATGTAACTCACGAGCTGAATCGGTGCCTATGGATCGTGTTGTTTTTTGAGCGACGTATAGGAACCCACTTGCACTCTAAAAGTTTCCCACCTTAGCTGTGCCTCACTTCCAATGGTGCTTTCTTCTTCTGTGTAATCGTTTCTTTTCTTTTTCTTTTCTTTTGTAAGGTGCTGTAAATAATGTTAGTCTGTATGCACATATCCTACCCAATGGGTAGAAACCACATAAAAAAGACATTGTTAATAATGTAACAATTTATAGTTGATATAAAGATTTTAACACGGTGGCAATGGATTTGTAAATGCCTACAGTTCAGATGTGCATTTTATTTGTTTTGATTTTTATTCTGTATTTTGCCGAACAAGGAAATTCATTAGCAGAGAAATAATTATGGTAAATATTGAACGACAGAGCATTTCATAGATTTTTTTTTTTTTTTTTTTACATAAAATGAAAGAATGAAACGCTGTTCTGGAATCAGATGTTGCTATACTGCCCCAACCTTAAAACACACATTTAAGGCACACATGCATTAGGGGAGTTTTTAATAATAAAAAAAGCGTAAAGTATACTTGGGTTTCTTCACAATCAAATGCACAGCCTTTTAAATTATAACTGATTTGAGTGTATACTTCAGCCTATGTGTGCGCTACTGTATATGTGCGGTTGAATGCTCAGCCTATTATAGTATATTTTACAGCATGTGAATACATGTACTAAAAATATTTGCCCTTGTCCTGCACTTTTTCTTTCCAAAAGTTAAAAATGACAAAAATGTGTTATATTCCTTTAAATGAATATTGTTTAATTCCCTCACACATGCACTCATCATTGTGGACATCTGTTGTTTTGTAGTTTCTTTCTTTTCTTTTTTACTTAACTTCTTAAAATAACAGCCCACTTTGGTGTTGACCAATGTAATCTCTCTGCAATTCGTAACTTTTGGATTTAGTGGCTAATTCGTATTACATTGTTTAGTCTCTTTCGTATATTTGAGTACATTTTTTCCTCATCCACCAATGAGGTTAAGTTTAGGGATGGGATTTGTGTGTAATCCTCCTTTTAAAAAAATCTTCATTTTTTGATGCAAGAAATTTAAATGTATCGTTCAATTCAGAAAGAAAGAAAAAAAAATCTGATCTAACTGTTTTCTGCCGATAGATCGGAGCAGTACATGTTGATGTTTTTATAGATTTTTATGTTTAATAGTGTAGCTCTGACTACATTCTCAATTTAAAGAAATTGTATGAATTCGTACCAATTTTCCACTTTTCAGACAATATGTAAAATAGTTACGTTTCCTCCAGAGATTTGAACCACATGTGTTTTTAGTTGTTTTTGACAACTTATCTTGTCCACAAGGTGTCAAAACTGAACCCATCTATTATTTTACTGTAAATAACCGCTGTGAGAACTGAAGAGACTCAACAAAAATAATTTTATAAATAGGCCTACTAACGACTGCAAAAATGCTAGATGCACGTTGAGAGATGTCTGCAATTCTACTTTAAATAGGTTCAAGGGGTCTGTTCTGATAGCCTCGTGGACAGTGCATGCGCAATTGTTCTTCAGGCATCCTGAGTTTCAATCCTGGCTTGGGGACCTTTGTAGATTACATTCAGTCTCTCCAACTTTCCTTCCTGTCCAAGTGCTGTCTTTCACTATAAAGGCAAAAAGCACCACAAATGGTAAAAAATAAATAAATGAATACAAAAAATATATATATTTTTGTCAGTGCAGCTGTTCGAGGATGAATACTTGTGTCAGGAAATTAAGGAGTAAACTGACTGTTACAAATAAATTTTGTTGCTCTTTGGAAAGAAAAAGTGGACAACGACTAATGTTTCTACCAAGTTTCTTAAATGTGTTAGGCTGTGCTTATGCTTATGCTAATGAGCCAAATTACACTTTGGTCTTAAAGCGATAGTTCACCCACTTGTCCTCAACTTGTTTGTTTGTTTCTGTTGAACACTGAAAGGAAAATATAATGAAGAAATACTTTGAGGGGAAAAACAGCCATTGTCTTCCATCGTATTTTTTAAGTTTCTACTATGGAAGTGAGTGGCTGATTTTCACGAACATTGTTCAGAATATCTTTCTTTGTGTTCAACAGAAGAGATAGGCTATATTCATAAAAATGTAGAACCACTTCTAATTTGACCAACGTTAGCTACATTTTCAGTTTTGGCGGTAAACTATTCCTTCAAGTACGCGCGCTTGTTAAGTATTCCTTTGTGTGAGCGGCGCATACGTTGTGAAAAAGAAATGCATTAAAAAACTTAAGTATACTTTGTGCTGTTCAAAAGTTTTAAGTTAAAACCAGTGTATGGAAACGTTAAATATTTAGTTTCAAGTGCCAGAACGCTGAGGGATTGTGATATTGACAGTCTTGCTTCAAACAACGTTCGTCTGAATCCCGACATGATGTACATGATTTTTTTTTCATGCCACCCTGTGTTGTGCTTCCTGTCTTTGCAAGTTTAATAATGAACCAAATGAGAGATGTAGTTTTAACATTCTTATTTTTGTTATATGCCGTATTTCAGACATTCTCGTGTATGTGGTGTATAGGAGCAAAACAAACAAACGATCGAAAAAGATTTTAAATTGCAGATATTTATGTGCCGGTGCTCCACTGTACAGTAGCTTGTATTCGCATGTCTATAGTTATATTCCTGAAGATAATGTACATAGCGATGCCATTTTGACTACAAGCACCTGACTAACAGCAGTTGTGAGATTTTGAGCAATGTACCGAGATGCTTTTGAAGCTTTTCTTTTGTTCTTGCACAAGCACAGAGAACTAACAATGACTGAAAAGGAGGTTCGTTTAACTCTGATGCTTCTCGGGTGTCTGAAAACAGACATTCAGCATTAGAAAGCAGCACAATATCAGACCTTTTTACGGCTCGCGTTACGCCATGTTCACTGCGTGGATGTCTTTTTACACACACGCGTGCGCACATTTAATCTTTATTTAAATCTATGTGGTTGTAATGAATAGGTTTTAAGCATAAGGTCTGTTATTGTAATGCTGTTGCTCTAATCACTGTTATAGTCCAACTTTTATGCTTGTACTTCTGCTGTTGTCCAACTGCAGTTAAACTAATAAACTAAAAGTACCAGTTTCCCATGGTTTAATTGTTTATCTTTATTAAAATGTTGTCAGATCAGCAATTAGTATTCACTCAGTGAGACACTGAGGTGATTTGAGTGTAGAATATTTACTAGAATGGGTTTTCAGTTGCTTTTCTTACCCATTGACTTTAAAAAGATTAGCTACTCCAACACTCCTTTTGCACAAGAACTCGAATACAAACATACAAAGATAATCGTAAACTATCAAATACAGTAGATACTTAACACTTGGTTATCAAGTGGAAATACTTTCAATAATTACCTTTAAACAGCTGAACTATTTTACATTCACACCAACACACAATGATTTTGGCTTAATTCCATAAACTAACACAATATCTTCTTGTGTTATTGCTAGTTCAAGTTTGTTTCTTTCCAAAACACTCGAAATACAGATTCAAGAGTGTGGAAACCTTTCGACATGATACATCCAGAGCATTAAAAGAATTACAATTTTGTCCTCATTTCAAACCTGAATGAACAAGATTGTTTAAAAAAATAAAAATAAAAAAAAAAAACTGGAAAAACTCAAAAGTTGAGTCGAAATTAGTCTGGACCCCAGTGACTTTCAGTGGAATTACTTGAAAGTCAATGGTGTCCGAACTAATTTGGACAACTGATGTTCATTGTATGGTTAAATTGAGCTTTGTTAAATATCTTTTGCATTTTGCAGAACAAAGGCCATTTTTAAAAAAAGTTGCAGTTAATTTGCTCATCCTCAAGACCGTTCACATCACATGTTTGTGAACTTAAGATTCTTGCAAAGACCAATAGTTTTTACTTCATAACACCTCAATGTATCGTCAGGAGTCATGGTTTATAATATCACCTATAAAGTCAGTCAACGTTATTGTCAATTCTGGCATGTGCAGACAAACAGAGAATTGAAATAACGTTAAGTGCTGATAGCCACAGACTTCCAATTCATGAATAACTGGACCAGTTTGTTTTTTAAACTAAAATGTCCTCATCAATATTTTAATCAAGAAAAGGCACACCTACATCTTATCTCTGATGGCCTGAGGAAGAATAAATAAATGGCAGTTTTTCATTTTTGGGTAAACAGTCCCTCTAAGTCAGGGGTGACCAAACACAGTCATGGAGGGCCGGTGTCCTGCTGATTTGAGCTCCAACTTGCTTCAACACACCTGCCATGAAGTTTCTAGTATTTCTTGTAAGAGCTTGATTAGCTGGTTCATGTGTTTGATTAGGGTTGGAGCTAAACTCTCCAGGACACTGACCCTCCAGGAGCAAGTTTAGAAATCCCTGCTCTAAGTCAACACCAGACATATTCAATATTACGCTTATGAGTTTATAACAAATAATTCTTTCCGAAGCGGGCTAGTCTGCTTTCTTACGGAAAGACATTTTGTCTTTCGTCTCCTGCAGTTTCTCAGAGAACTTGTCTTTTGTTTCTGAGAAGCGCTCTTTTGTCTCCTCCATCCGTTCTGAGAGAAGTTCTTTGGTTTCCTCCATCTTCTCTGAAAACCTCTCTTTGGTCTCCTCCATCTTTTCGGTCAGTAGTTCTCTGGTCTCCTCCATTTTGTCCTGCAGAAATTCTTTAACAGGTGGAGGAGTGGACAAGTATCCATGTTTGCGGAGGTATTGTACGGACAGAGACGTGCCGCCCATAGTGACAGTGTAGCGGGCAGGAGTAGCGAGCTGTGACAGAATAGACGAAAAGATTCAATAACAATAATGGTTATTTATACATATATACACTTAATGGACACTTTACGAGGTACACCTGTTTAACTGCTTGTTAATGACAACATCCAATCAGCCAATCACATGGCGGCAACTGAATGCATTTAGGCATGGAGATGTGTTAAGGTAAATGTTTGAAGATCAAAATGAGGATGCGAATGAGGAAGAAAGGTGAGTGATGCGACTTTAAACATGGCATGTTTGATAGTTAAAATGAACCAGAATCTCTGAGGATTGTTTTAAAGCACTTTAAGTTTATGCCACAAAAAGTATTTAAGGATTATTTACCCAATTGAAAATTTGGGCACCTTCAAGATGTTCTTTATTAGTTTCTTCTGTTGAAAATGTTTTTGAATTAAGCTGAAAAACTGTATCTATTGACTTCCTTAGTGAGAACCTAACACTATGGTACGGCAGAGCAGGGACAAGTACCATTTTTCATAAAAACCTATTTTTAAAAGATAATGTTTCAGACAGCAACTCATTACCAACTCATAAGTGTGGTCTATCAATATCAGGTGGTATTTTTGTACAAATATAGAACAACTTCAAAATAATTTCACTTTAAATTACTTTTGACCCTGTCAGTAGACAAATCGTCACCTTGGAATTATAAGGTTCTGTCTGTGTTCTGAATGACTTTGAGATATTGAGCTTCAAAGTTTTTGCATTCCATAGCAAACAGTATGTGTGTAACATTTGTTGTTTTAAATAAAATGTTATAAAATGTAAAAAAATAAAAAATAAAAATCCCATAATGTAAAAAAGTTGTCATTTGATAATGTCTAACTTTATTTTGACAAATGTCAGATAGAACCTTATAATTCTAAGGTGAGGAAATGTAAGAACAAAATGTGTGCTAGTTTTACAGGCTTAACCTTGTTTATTTTAAACAATCTGACTATGACCTTGTTAGTTTTAACAGCAAACACTCTGTCCTATTATCTTTACAAAAATATTAAACTGCATTTTCAGGTTACATTTCAGTTCCATTAAATGATTCTAAAGTAAACCAAAAATACAAAACTGTATTTAGAGGACTTTTATTATTGTTGTTATTGGCAATATGCATTAATTTGGTAACATCCAAATTGAAACATTTCAAACTCTAATGTAGAACTAAAAAGTAAGGTTTGTCTATTATCAGTGGGACATAAATAATGTTACTTTTGTCCCCACAGAATCTCTTGCCATTTAAACCTGATTTACTTTTAAATGAAAAAACTCCGACCGTACAAACTTGAGGTTGTTTTGTTGCACCACATAACCAGTAGATTGATCATTGCTGTGACAGATGGAAAGAGAAATACAACTTTTTATAAGGAAAAAATAACTGCTACAACAATTTACTCTCTGCACTTTAAAATTTGAACCTAACTGCAAGACAGTAATGAAACCACATGATGAGTTCAGATGCAAAAACCTCCAAGTTCTAAAATGAGCATTTTTCTTTTAGGTTTATGATCAGTTATTTCACTTTAAATAAAGTAAAAAGAACCTATTCATTGCCATAAAAGTGAAATTACTGAACATACAAAGAGGAAACTGACAAAAATGCTAATAAAGAAAATTTCAGAAGGCAAAAAAAGTCTTTAATTTTATTTGTTTACTTTCGTAACACGTTACTTTTATCCCCGCTTTCCCCTTGTCTCCACAGGTTTTCAGCTTTTGTGTTCAACAGAAGAAAGAAACTAATAAAGATTTGGAACAAGTAAAGCATGAGTAGATGATGACAGAATGAACATTGAATGAATTGATCTCTTTATTGCAAATTGTGGGACTATCATGATGTTCCTAATAAAGTGGGTGATGGTGAGTGAATAAAACTCTTTTACATTCATACAACTTTCAATTTAGTTTCTATACCTTATACATGGCATAAGCTGTAAGTGCATAGCCACCCTGGGAATCTCGCAAAATCCCCACTATCCAATCCGGTAAACCAATGAACTCCAGAAAGGGCACCAGATTCACGCCCCTGTAGAGAACACACAATGTCATTGTAAGAGAAAAAAATGATTTGCTTTTTTAGCCTTCAAGTGTTGTTTGTTAAGCAGTCGTTGATTGTCCAGATGACATTGCTAAAGCTTGTCTGACCTGCTGAAGCTCAGACAGACTTTATCTGGTAAAACTCGTCTCCCTGCCAGCCTCACCTTAAAGCTGCGCGCTCTGAGCCAGTGTTTCCATCTTTGAAGCAGAAGCTTTCATGGCATTAATTAATTCATATCATTTAATAAATTCAAAACTCCTAAAGCTAATTCTGTGCACAAGACAACAAAGCAACATGTAGTGAAGCACAACATATCGGTTGCCTGAATATAGGTACAATATACTGAAATTAATTATTTTTCTATTATTGAAGTTTGACAGAGCAAGGACGTTTTTTTCTGTAAAAAAAAAAAAAAAAAAAAAAAAAAAAAAAAAAAAAGTGTTTTAAAGTTTTCAAATTTTATTTTAAGCTTAATATTATTAGATTTCAATTAATAATTTTATTTATTATTATTATTATTATTCAGGGTTTCTGCAGGTTTCAGCAAGTTAAATGTGAGACTTTAAGACATTTAAGAACATTATGAATTACATTTTAGACTGGTATAGGGTTAAACGCTAAGAAGTTTTTCAAATGGCTTTGTTGGAAAAGATTTTTATTTGCCCTTTCAAACTTTGTTTTTTTAAATAATTTCAAACACTTATTAATGAATAATAATTTAATAATTAAAAAAATAATAATGTTTTAGTTAATTCTGAGCAAAATATATTTTCAAATAGTGTCAAGACAAGCAAGCTCCAGTTGTATACATACACCTTTTTCAACAAATTCTCTGAAAAATAAAACAAATTGAAAAATGTTTTAAAAACTAATATAAACTAAGCTTCTTCGACAGTAAACACATGGAGAACTTTTAAACAATTGTTATTGTAAGGAAAATAATTAAACCACTGTGGTAAATAGTTACAAATTATATTCTTAAATAAAGTTTTATTAAGATGAATTGTTTGTGATTGTATGGGTGTTAGCCAGATTGGGTAGCTATACATAAACAAAGGAAAATTAAGACCTGTTTAAAAAAGACCTACAACACTATATTTCAGTAAATGTAAGACTTTATAATGCATAACATTTTATTTAAGATATTATTATTATTAGTAGTAGTAGTAGTAGTAGTAGTAGTAGAAGCAGAATTAAAAGAAATTGATTGGCTAAAGAACAAACCCGTTGTCCAGTGATTTGCCCAATTAACCCAACATGTGAAATTAGTTGTTAACAATATATATATTTTTTTTTTAATTGTGCTGCTAAAAAACCCTCTTAAAAACAGCATTGTGGAAAAAAAATACATTTCACAGAAGGGCTAATAATTTTGCCTTCAACTTTGTGCTGTTTTAACTTTACAGTAGAGCACAATTTTAATACTGGCAATTTTTTACAGTTGGCTATGGCTGCACAATATAGTTTCAGCATCGATATTGCAATGTGGAAATTTGCAACAGTCACATTGTCATTACTGTATTTATACGATTTATGCAAAAAAAATTAAATAAAACTTTCTTGTTATTTGTCCAAATATCTACATTTCAAAGCAAAAACACACCTCACGGGCAGATAATTGTACTTGTTTTAAGGGAAAACTCTTTTTAAATTTGGCTTATTTCTTCAGAAGATTAAAACAAAATCATGTTTACTTTGTCTCGTTTTTAGTTCAAATATCTAAAAAGTCTTAGATCTTTGAACTAAAAATGAGACAAAGCAAAGTAGGAAAAGTATTTTTTGCATTGTGATTATTTAATTTCTGTACCTGAATACTGTTAGCCTCCTCAGAAATCTGTCAAATAGAACTATTCAACTATCTTGTGAAACTGTATTCATATCGCAATAAAATCAAAATCTATCAAAAAGAAAATTAAAGTATCGCAATATCAGATTTTGCCAATATTGTACATAAGCATTTTTTTAAAGTGGTGTCATACTTTTTTTTTCTTTAGAGGCAATGCATAGAAACCTAATAAAGAATAAATGTAATTTTATGTCCTCAATTTTTCCACAACCAAAATTAAACATGAAAAAAGAGCAATGACAACTGAAAACGGATTTAAAACAAAATGTAGTTGTGGCTCTTTAGGTTATGTTTGAAAATGTAAATAGTTAACAGTGAAATAATACTTACTGGACCAAAAAAAAAAAAAATCTCAATCTAATTGTGGCACTTAATTTTTCTGTTAATTTGAGTCACTTACTTCATTGCAGCATAATAGAAACTCCCAAACCACACTGTGGATGTGACGATGTGCACGGGCACCATGACTTTACCATACTGTTTAAAAGTCTTTTTAAATCTCTGGAAGATCCCAATCGATTTGTCCTGCAGAGGGTCGATATCTCCCTTATTGTGTGGGACAGGCTCTGAATCAGCCTTATAGAGGCCCTCGGTTCCTGCTAGACTCTGTGGAGGGTTTAATGGCACTTCCTCTTGTTCCTCTGTGGACGTTTTGTGGGCTTCTTTTGCCCTGATGGCATTAGTGCAGCTGAAGTAGCGAGGGCTCAGGACGGCTAAAGGAGGCTCCTGCATTGCCCAGGTGTGAGGCAGGTACACCGAACGCAGCAGGAGCACACGCCGAAGCGTCACTGGAGCCCACAGCCGCTGCATCACACCTGACACACACACAGCGCCACCTACAGGACACATAACAACAGTTACAATATCTGGCTGATGAGATGCACTGGAGCAGGGATGCCCAAAACGTTTCACGCTGGGTAAACTTACAAACTCAAGTTCACCAGTTCCCTTGAAAATGTGAGTCAACACAATTTTGAGAGATTCTTTGTCTCAAGTTGAAACAAAGAATCTCTCTAAATTGAGTTGACTCACAATTTCAAGGGAACTGGTGAACTTATTTGTAAGTTTAACCGATGTGAAATGTTTTACAGTGTGGAGGGTCGGTGTCCTGCATTGTTTAGTTCTAACTTCCTTCGACACACCTGCCTGAAGTTTCTAGTAGAAAGAGCTTGATTTAGATCAGGGGTGCTCAATCCTGTTCCTGGAGATCTACCTTCCTGTACAGTTTAGCTCCTACCCTGATCAAACCCATCTGAACCAATTAATTAGGACCCGAAATCCACTTGATAATTACAGACAAGTGTGTTTGATAAGGGTTGCAACTGAAATCTGGAGGAAGGTAGATCTCCAGGAACAGGATTGGCCACCCCTGATTTAGATGGTTTAGGTGTGTCTATCTGGGGTTGAACCTAAACTTTGCAGGAACAGCAGCCCTTCAGGACCGTTTGGGCACCACTGCACTAGGACACACAGATTGAATGTTACAGATGTCCTGTAAATAGTTGTGATATAAAAAGTTGGAATATTAAAAATAAAATATCAATTTATTACATTTTTATTTATAAAAAAACAGTATAATTGGGTAAAAATTAGAATATGTATACTATACACACACCTGTACAGCTATCTTTATGGGGATTTCCACTATTCAACGACTCGTCTATACTGTATATTCAGTCCCCCTACCCCTAAACCCAACCCTCACAGGAAATAATCAGCATTTTTACATTTTATAAATATTAAACTCGTTGTGATTTATGAGGCGTTTTCCTCATGGGGATCTAAAAAATGTCCCCATGAGGTCAAATTTTACTGGGATTGCTACATATGCAGGCACTTTGTCTCTCTCTCACACACACACACACACACACAGTGGGTTTGTAATATGTTTATATTTGTTCCTTTCTATACAGATCCAATAACACTTTTTCCAAATCACAAATAAAAAATGTCAATGGAGCTTATGCACTACTAGTGTTTTTCAGCCAATTATGAATTTCCGGTGAAAGCTTAATGTAGCTATTTTCAATTTCATAAGGTTCCTTTTCCAGCACTGATGTTGTAGCATAATAAAAATACATTCAGTTAAACAGAGTTAAGCATTCATTTAGTTGCTCAAGCATAAAGGAGATGAAAGACAGTGTAAGCACTATCTTTGTCAGGATCAGGCGAGCACAAAAACTCCATTGAAAATACTGCCGTAAAATAAACTGTCATATATTAAGGACATGGCGTGGAAAAATATAATTTAAGGCAGTGCTGCTTGTCGGGTCTGAGACCCACTTTATATTGTATATCTATCAGGCAGTGAATATTACTGATATTTAAAGAAATCAGACCTTAAACATAGAAGTTTCATTTAAATCAATTATTTGGCTGAAAATTAAAAGTCTGTGTGCATATAGCCTATTGTAGATTTTTTTTCCCCCCATAAAATGACAACTGGTCAGAATAACAAATGTTTTCATTATTATGGTTACTGAAAATCAGCCTTGTTTCACTAAAATATAGATTTTTTTATTATTTTTTATTAGATTTTTTCTATTATTTCTATTTTTTATTATTTACTTATCTGATTGCTAAAGACATTTGTAGTGCTTCAAGTAAAAACACGTTGAAAAACTTGACACTTTTGTTATTTTATGCAAAGAAACTGCTCTACATCACAAAATGTTTACTTTTTATACTTTATATTACACAAATACTTTTAAAATTACAACATTACTTTAAAAGTTTACTTTAAATCAAAAAGTACGATGTTGACTCTTTAGGTAACTGTAAATTATTGGAAATAATGACTGAAAAGTCACACAGGTTGGACCATGGGTTGGGCATAATAAACATGCCACTGGTCAGGGTCAAGGCTCTCTCTATCAAGCAGCACACTGATTAAGTTAAAGACAGCACTGGAGGCACTTTAGAGTACTTAGGATAAAAACGAAGTAGTGCAGCCGCTAATGAGTTTAGTTTCGGCCAGATTAATTACCTGTTTATGTTTTTGCAATGGTAAGAGTAGTCCAATAAGTACACGAGTGTTTAAAGTCCAAGCATCACCGATAAACTTACAATTACTGCTTTTTTAACCTTCTTATGAATGACATCATTAACTCAGTCACGAGCATTTCAACACATAGAATCTACCAGAAGTTAAGGAACTAAACGCCTGATATATGTTTGTTGTTATAGTAGAGTAACATCACGATAACAACAACAGCCCGCATTGTTATCGCTGCATATGCTGGACTAGAGCCAATGACATTGTGGTTGTTTATAGAGGACAGACAGAAGTAAAAATCGCAGGAGTTCAAGTTTACAGGGCCCTAATCTAAACTTCAACACACTTATTAGCTGCCAATCCTACAGGATCAGGCAACAGCTGAGACTACTCTAAACCAGTCAGTCGGAAGTTAGAAAGTTAGTTAGAAAGAGTTTGTTAGAAATGCGAACGACAACTTACATTCACGTCTGGAAGGTCTGTTCTGTGTTTATGGAGAGTCCTCGCAGAGCTCCATACCTCCAGACACATGTCATGTACACGCACGTTCTCCACAGTCGTCCACATGGAGCTGTTGCGCGCGGCATGATGGGAAGTGTAGTCCTTTTGGTACGCAAATGAGTGCGTGTTTACAATCTATGATTGACGTGCAAAAATTTTCAAAAACTTTTATCGATGTGAGAGATTTACCTGTTCTTTCTGAATTTGGCGATGCAGTGGCACAGTAGGTGTTGTCGCCTCACAGCAAGAAGGTCGCTGGTTCAAGCCTCGGCTGGGTCAGTTGGCGTTTCTGTGTGGAGTTTGCAAGTTCTCACTGCGGTTGCGGGGGTTTCCTCCGGATGCTCCGGTTTCCCCCACAGTCCAAAGACATGTAGTACAGATGAATTGGGTAAGCTAAATTGTCCATAGTGTATGAGTGTGAATGAGTGCGTGTGGATGTTTCCCAGAGATGGGTTGTGGCTGGAAGGGGATCCGCTGCGTAAAAACGTGCTGGATAAGTTGGCGGTTCATTCCGCTGTGGCGACCCCAGATTAATAAAGGGACTAAGCTGAAAAGAAAATTAATGAATGTTTCTGAATTTCTGGTTAGACTTTAATATCCTTTATTCTTCATTTTGCTATATTTTATTTTTTAATACATCTTAATTCATTTGATCAATGGAATGGAGCAAGATATATGTTTTTTTATTATATTGAAGTAATTTTGTATCTGTTTTTCTATTTGATAAGTGAGGCAATTGTTAAACGCATTACATTTTTCCTCCACAAGATGGCGGTAACGCATCAAGCCCTAGCCTAATTTCCTGTCATTTCTTTTCCGAGCTCAGCCAGAAAGAGTTTAAATCCTTATGACATTAATTCTCAATTATTATTCTTCTAGACAGAATAGGCTTTCTTACAGCATTTTATTATTTATTTATTTTATTTGAGAAAATACGGCATAGCACCATAACCTTTGTATGTTTTTTAACCTCAATGGCACAGTATTGCTTTGACAAAAAAACTATATAAAGCAGAGATATTTTGTTAAAATAAACTTTAAAAAATCTGTTTTAATAAAAACAAGATAGCAAACGTAATACTTAAAACAATTAGTTTTGGTTGAATTTAAACAAACAAATTAGGTTAGACTTAATTTCATAGTTATCTCTATCCAATGAAATTCAGAAAGTTCATTCATTCATTTTCTTGTCGGCTTAGTCCCTTTATTAATCTGGGGTCGCCACAGCGGAATGAACCGCCAACTTATCCAGCAAGTTTTTACGCAGCGGATGCCCTTCCAGCCGCAACTTATCTCTGGGAAACATCCACACACACACACACTCATACACTACGGACAATTTAGCCTACCCAATTCACCTGTACCGCATGTCTTTGGACTGTGGGGGAAACCGGAGCACCCGGAGGAAACCCACACGAACGCAGGAAGAACATGCAAACTCTACACAGAAACGCCAACTGAGCTGAGGATCGAACCAGCGACCTTCTTGCTGTGAGGCGAACGTGCTACCCACTGCGTCGCCTTCAGAAAGTTTAATACAGTTTAATTTTTCCTGCTTAATTTTTGTTTTATGGCCAAAATTATCAATTTACTAAAATTACTACTTGCAAATGACACGTAACCTAGTTTGTTTTGAATTCATTTCAATTAAGATGCAATTTCTATCAAAATTTAAATCACTGCCTGAAGTTCTTCAACAGCACAAGTTTAAAATTGTATTTTTCATTTATTTTATTTGAGAAAATATGGCACAAGCACCTAATTAACCTCGGAATGGTACCTTGATGGCACAATATTGTTTTGACAAAAAGACTATATAAAGCAGAGATATTTTGTTAAAATGACCTATTTTGTTTAAAATTGTTTTAATAAAAACAAGATAACAAATAGGCTCTGGCAGTGATTTCAGCCCACATACTGCAAGGAATTACGGCCCATAAGTGACTCAATACTGAGCAATGCAAGAAGCAGGCCAAAACTCAACCAACCACCACAGGTCAGCCATAACTGACCCATGACCATGACAAAGCCAAAATACAGATATCAGCCAGACAAGAACCAAATAAACAGAAACGTGCAAAAACTCAGCCACAACCTATCCAAAATACTTTACCTGGTAATTTATAGTTACTGTAATTTTACTCAAGAAAGCTACTTGATACGTGTACTTTATACACCAGATGAATATATGCATGTGTCAGATCCTCCATTTCTGTGCTTAGACACCAATGATCAGTGCACTTATGTTCTCTCTTCACCATTTGAATAATGGCTGATGCTAAAAACGGAAACTATGCAGAGTTTAGTCACAAACTGTTGTCTATGATTACTAATTTTGTATATGTTAGTAATGTGGTTTGAATTTTTGGGGATGTACTCTGACTAAAGACTTTGTTTACTTACAATTACTTACTTAAAGGTATTGATATAAAGATGCAAAAAAAGTTATATCTATATAAAAATGATTAAACCGTACACCAATGTACAGCAGTGGGTTCATGAATTGACGATGAAGGCTAATAATTATTTAAATCATATATGACAGCAGCTTAGACAATATAAAATGTGGCCTTTAACCAACATCAGTGAACTGTGAACATGGATCTTTATTTTTAAAAGCATTTTAAGGATTTTCTCACGTTCCATCTTTCCCTCACACATGTACTCCTCCAACTGGGATAAGGACATTCCTCCAACCTGGAGATGCCAAACCACCTTTTTCCAGTGGAGCAGCATGGCCTTGGACTTGGAGGTGCTGATTCTCATCCCAGCTGCATCTCACTTGGAAGCAAACCGCCCCAGTGCATGCTGAAGGTCCATGTTCGATGAAGCCAACAGAACAACACCGTCTGCGAATAACAGCGATTGACAGGCAGATTGGTGCAGCGGCAGCAGTAATGTGGTCGATTTACCGGCCCGTTTTGGTAAAGGAGTAGGAGTAGAAAGGAGTAGAGCCACTGCTTCTCCACATCGAGAAAAGTCAGTTGAGGTGGCTCGGGCATCTGTTTCGGATGCCTCCTGGATGCCTATATTGAGGGGTGTTCCAGGCATGTTCCACCAGGAGGAGGCCTCGGGGAAGACCTAGGACACGCTGGAAGGATTGTCTCTCAACTGGCCTGGGAACGTCTCAGGATCCCTGCAGGAGAGCAGGCGGAAGATTCTGGGAAGAGGGAAGTCAGGAGTTCTCTCCTAAGAGTGCTGCCCCTGCGACCCGGCCCCAGAAAAGCGGATGGAAAGGTGATGAAATTTTAAGCATTTAAAAAAAAATGTAGTTCAATACATACTTATTAACATTTTGACTGATTATGTGATCAAAATGACACGTAATCAATTACTTTCCAGCACTAATCATGAAATGAATCATAACTCAGATCCTCCTCTAATCAAAGCCTCATTCTTCTTCAGTAGATGTCATGTGAACATATCAGGTCAACCTGATCCTTCATTATGATTTTTTATTTCAGAATTGTTGATGACTAATCTGTGGACATTGATAAATCCTAATAGTGGTCATGCAAATGCATCGACGTAGTCGATTGACCCAATGCAGCTTTCACAATGAATCATTTTACTCTCTTTAAATAATTACCTTAATCAGTCTGGACTTTTACAAATGGTTTGCCAACACCAACTCTTCTTTCACAGGCTTTTATCTCCCTTTGATTTCCACACCGTTGTGCAACTAAGATAATTAAAAATTCTTCTTGTCATTTTGTCAGCTGAAGGTATGAACGACGGCAGCCTCCACGATAAATTCAAAGGAGAAAAATGAAAGAGGATTAGACAAACAGCGCAAACTGAAAAACAAGATAATGGCAACTTCATTAAATGCCATCATACATTTAGTTTGACTATCAGGGTGAATATCCATGTTTATAGATTCATTAGTATTCTTGTGCTTTCTCTTATTGCCTGAGGTTCTCAAAATCACATCTCATGACAATTAGTGTGTTGAAACCAAACATAAAGATGGTTTCTTTATCATAACTGATTGTTTAAAAAGATAGTTTGACCAAAAATTTAAACTCTGAAACTCTTTCCCCCACAGTCCAAAAACATGCGGTACAGGTTAACTGGGCTAAATTGTCTGTATAGTGTATGAGTGTGTGTGGATGTTTCCCAGAGATGGGTTACGGCTGGAAGGGCATCTGCTGCATAAAACAAAAATGTGCTGGATAAGTTGGTGGTTCATTCCGCTGTGGTGACCCCAGATTAATAAAGGGAAAAGAAAATGAATGAATGAATGTTAGGGTATATAAGTCCCAGCAACCAGCATATTTCAAGACGTCATCTTATGTGTTCAACAGAAGAAAGAAACTCCATAAAAGTTTAAAACCACACGAGGGAGAATAAATGATGTGCTAATTTTCCTTTTTGGGTGAACAAACCCTTTAAGCTGATTAAAGCATTCTTATGTGGATGAATAGGGTCACTAAACTTCAAATCTGGTTGATCTCTTCAAAGAGGCCACCATGTTAAATATGTCATGTGAATTGCATACCATTTAAGTCTTGCTTGATCAAATGATTATACGTACAATTGGCCATTTATATTCAAAGACGCAGTGAGCTCTTCAATTTCAATGTGAGATGAAAAAGCACTTCAGAATAAATCACCACTGCTCATCATCGCCATATATTATACATCAAACCAGACTCACTGAATCAACAGTGATTGCTTGAAGAATGTAATTCAGATCCAATCAGCCCTCATTACTCTGTGTGTAAATCTGATGATGCTGATTGGCTGTCCAAGAGAAAACGTTGAAACAAAAAGAGAGGCTCTTGCTAGGATACTGACACTCAGACCTTTCTTATGAGTGTGTTGACCTCGCAGTCCGATCTCACTCGTGGGCAGGTCAAAGTTCAGAATAATGAGAACTGTTTCAGCAGAGGCAATTCAGGGTGCCAGGAGCTGTCACAATGGCATTAAAGCACACACTCTTAAAAATAAATGTTTTGTTAAGTACTTTAGCAGTCATTCAGAAGGTCATTACTCACACTTAAATTAAATAATTACTTTGTATAGCTTTATTGTACATTAGGAAATACAAAACACATTCCAAGAAGAATAAACGAGGAATTGGACCTTTCTGTGTTTTATCTGTAATATTGTTAATTAAGGATTTTGAGTATGTAATACAAATAATGAGATCAAAATGTATTTTTTTTATGTTTTGGATAGTCGGAATTTAATTTCATTGCATTGATGTAGATATTAACAAGTGAATGATGATAATTGATATGTTACTTTCCTGTGCAATGGAAATAATATTTTGAAGGTGAAGGAAAATAATATATTTTTAGTTGGTGTAAAGGATCTTTTAAAAATATGAAAGACTTTTTTGCACAGTTAAAAAACACATTTTAGCAGGTTCAGTTAAAGGTTGTTTTTGAAACAATGCCACAAAAGACCAGAAAAGACCAGAAAAACCAGAAAAGAGAGCATGTGAGAAGTGGAGATAAAAAGTATAAAGATGTTCTTTAAATTACTGTATTAAATTCTTAAAAAAAGAATGATTCATTTTATTAAATACAATGTCATTAGATAATAATAAATATAATATTTAATTTATTTTATCTAATATTGTAAAACTAAATCCAACACTATTATTATTATTAATTATATTATTATTAATATTATTATTAGTAGTAGTATTAAATGTGATTAAAATTGTGTTTTTTTTATTTTAACAGAACAATTAATAATATAATTGCTATTAATATTATCGAATCATGATAATATGCTGTTATTATTATGGTATGCTGCAAGAATGATGTTATTTACACACTGCATATACAAAACAATTCATGCTTCTTCTTTTTAATTAATATGATTTTTTTCTTAACACCAGCATTTAATCTAAACCAGTGTGAGACACATTTATATTTAGTCATTTAGCAGATGCAGAAGCAGTTTATTCTAAAGCGTCTTATAAATGAGGAAGGCATCAAGTGATTCATCATGAAGAGGCAATGCTCACACAAAGTGCTACAAAGGTTCTGACAAAGTAAAAGCTAGGGTAAAGAGACAATACACTGTTAAAGGTGATAAGTTAACTATTTATAAGCTGAGTAAACCTGTTGCTTTAATAATAATAAGAGATGGTACAGGCAGATAAAAGATACACAAACATACAGGAAGACTATAACTGTTATATAAGAATATAACAATATAAGAATATAACAAACTGGAATTACAAAAACAGTACCTAAGAGACAAATGAGCAGAGTGCAGGTGGATCAGATAAAGTTGTCAGTTTGGCAGATCAGAAGTATAGTATTCGGAAAACAAGAGAGTCTTAAGTAAGGATTTGAATTCAGAGATATTAATAGCAGAGCTGAGTGAGCGTGGTTGAGAGATCCAGAGTTTGGGTGCAATAACACTAAATGATCTGCCCCCCATTGAAGAGAGACTGTAACAAGGGACAGCGAGAAGGCCAGAGTCATCGGAATGTAATGAACGAGTTGGGGTGTGGGGGACAAGGATGTTGTAGAGATAGGAGGGAGCTGGGCTATTTAGGGAACTAAATGCAAGGAGAATTTTGAATTTAATGCGGTATGTAATTGGGAGCCAATTGAGGTCAAGGACAAGATTGGGGTTATATGAGCAGAACGTTTGGTATAAGTGAGTATTCTAGTCACAGAGTTTTGAATATACTGTCATCTGGAGATGAGGCTGGAATGCAAACCAATGAAAAGGGCATTACAATAGTCAATGCGTGAAGAGACAAATGCATGAATGACAGTCCCAGCTTCCTTGCTACTGATGAAGGGACGCAATTGGGAAATGCGACGTAAATGAAGGAATGCAGATCTAATAACAGATTTAATGTGACACTGAAAAGAGAGTGTGGAGTCGAAGATTACACCTATTTTTTTCTAACAGGAGTAGATGTTTTAATGTGCGAGCCAGCAATCTCACAGGAGTAACTGGTAAATATTGAAACTGAAAAATATTGAAATATTGAAAAAAAATATTGAATATTGCTGGTAAGCGCTGGGATGCCAATTAAAAATCATCTTACTTTTGTCCATGTTGAGTTTTAGAGAATTTGAGGTAAACCAATCTTTAATGTCCTTAACACAAGCAGAGATTTTATCAATTTGGGCGGATGAAGTAGGTGTACAGACAGAATAAAGTTGAATTTCGTCTGCATAAAAGTGATAGTTGAGACCATGACATTGTAAAATCAGACCAAGTGGGACTAGGTATATTGAGAATAATAGTGGGCCTAGAACAGATCCCTGGGGAACACCTCGCTTCAGGGGGACAGTAGGTGACCGAAAATCCTTAACAGATATGAAGAATTGTCTATCTGAGAGATATGAAGAAAACCAAGAGAGACCAGTACCAGAAATACTCAGATCGGAGAGACGGGAGATAAGGAAATCCTGAGAGACTGTATTAAAGGCAGAGCTGAGATTGAGTAGCAGTGATATAGACAAGGAGCCAGAATCACCAGAAAACAGTAGATCATTGGACACGAAGTTGTGCATTATGCTCTGCCAGGAAGGGTCTGATCTTTCTAATGTTATAGTGCAAACCTGCATGATCATGTTGTTTACATCATGATCCTTGACCGACGGGTCATTTAAAATAGCAAGATGATCCTAACTGATTTAGAAGGGATAATTGTTGGTGTAATCTTAATGTTCAAAGAGGCAGGGAAGACAAGAAGCTCTGTTTTTGCCAGATTAAGCTGTATACGCTGTAGACACCGAAAGCTCTTGTTTCAGTGTGTTGAACAATGCTCAAAGCTTTAAATACACTCAGACAGATGAGTCAAAATGTTCATCTACAGATGATGAGGGTGGTGGAGGGATGCATTTGAAGTGGGTGGCTATGTAATATAGGAGTTTTTTAGACATTTTTTTATTCAGTTGACTGTAAGAATAATTTGCTTCATTAACTACATAGATTATTTATGTAATTTGCTTTCTGCTATGCCATATGTATTAGGTTACATTTGAATGAGTAATTGTGAAAGGCTCATCACCCATATGTGTATGAATATAAGATCGAATACAGTGAGTTGCCCTTTCATCACAGCTGATTTTTTTTTAGATATGTATAATGTTCAGAAAATGCAACATGTAAAACATAACTTTTGAAAAAAAGTTTTCAATTGAAATAAAAGCTCCTTTTTAACACAAGCAGCAACTCAACAAGCAACAGGAATAAATAACCTTGCAGTTCAGTCAGTGTAGTATAATGTAAACAACTGACATAGCAGCATGAATAAATAAGTTACGTGAAGAATATTTTACAGTGCCATAGTAATATTAGGCAGATCATACAAAAAAATCTAATTTCTTATTTGGAACTGCCTGTTTTTATTATTAACAATAACCCCCCTCCCCCTCCCCCCATTTTATGCCCAATACAAAATGTGCCACTTACTGTATGTCCAGTAAATTTTCCAGCCAGATATTGTCACCACCCAGCAGGCACAGGAGGTCAACATGACGTTGTACCCCATCGTTGTGGGATGTTGGATTTTGTTTGGAAATGAAAATCGTGTTGATGTCAGAACCCAAGGTCAGGTCAATGTCAATATCCAACATAGAACATGCATTGCATTTTGGTTGCTTTCTAACGCAAACTAAAAACATCAAAATAAATTTTTTAATTCATTTTCTTTTCGGCTCAGTCCCTTTATTAATCCAGGGTCGCCACAGCGGTATGAACCACCAACTTATCCGGCACGTTTTTACGCAGCGGATTCCCTTCCAGCTGCAACCCATCACTGGGAAAAAAACAACAAAATATCAATGTTTATTGATGTTACAGCTTGACCCTTTGTGGACATTACCAATATGACATCTTTCAGACGTTGGATTTCGGTTGCCATACCAGACACACAAATGTCAGTATTTGACGTCAATAAGACGTTGGTTTAACATGTTGGCTTGATGTTAAATTTTGGTCACTTACTTTCCAACAGAACCTAAAATCAACAAAATATCAGTCATTTCACGTCGTTATTGCACATCAAAATAACATTGTCCTTAGACACTGCCATCCTAAATCTAACCTAATATTAATGTCTTATGCTGTGTATCTGCTGGGCATCCACTTGAAATCAAAAATCTAAATAAAAACTGTCCATAGAGATTTACAATTTTAATTCCGTCTTAGACTTTAGTTCAGTATCTAGTTCTTACAATGTGATATTTTAGCCTCTAATGCTTAAAAAATTGGAACTCCTGTGACGTTAACTGTTCTCGGTTTGCATGTTGTTTTTAATATTCAAGGCGCTTCCTTCTGCTTTCTCTTTAATCAGTTTCTTTTCCTGTTTTGAATTTCGGTAAGCTGACTTGATTCGATTGGACCTGGATAAAAAGTTTTGTACGTTACAGTCAGCTCAATTTTCGGAGACCGGAAGTGCCCAGGTGTTCCGGCGCTGCCATTCTGTGAACAACAGTCAAACAAATTACTCTTTTATACCGGGGTTTGTGCCAACATTCTGTGCTGAAGCACCAACATGAATATATAGCCTACGGAGTGACTTACTGTACATTTATTACGGAGTGACTTACTGTACATTTATTATTCTGGCGTCGTTTGGATGCGTGTCCATGTCTAATGGAACCATACCGCCAACATAACATAAGCTGTTTAATTTTAGTGGTGCTTTGTGGAACATTAACTTGACCATGGACTTAAATATGTAAGATTCTCTGTGGTGTAAAAAGCATCGCTTACCGAGACAGTACAGTGGGCGCACGACTACACGCGGGGGTGGAGCGCGCGTAGAGCTATATGTGTGCGCGCGCTTGAGAGACCGCAGCAGTTTTCATACAGACACAGCTCTTGCATTATAGATCATTCTCCTCATAAAAACACCAGGAGACGCGTGTCAACGTGAGTAAACAGTTTTTCTTCCTTTTTTTTTTTTTTTTGAAGTACCATAATACCGTTTTATCCGAGCTTCAATAAATAAATAGCTGTAATAATGGGATTTGTTATGGTTTAACGGAGATTTGTTTTAATAGGTAATTTGTTGATTTCTATTGGTAGCATGTTTAACACTACTAAATCCTAATAGAAAATTACAAAACACACTTACAACTATTCAAATGTAGTTGTACTTGTTAATTTACTTGTTAAAAATATGGTACGTAATGTGTTAAATTGTATTTGTAATGGAAACCATTAGAACTTGATCATGGTTTGTGTGGATTTTATTTTCTCAGCATGAATTGATTGTTTTATATTCTTTAATTTTTCAGTAAATAACTTATAAATATACTTTCAAAATTTATATTTGTTACATGCACAGTTAAATAGTGTAATCCAGGCTGTGGAATTATTTAAATTATATATATTTTATTTATGATGCAACTATGATTATGGTATATTTAGTGTCAGTGATGATTTTGTAGCATATTAAATGAATGGTCACACTTCATAATACAGTAAGGTTTCATTAATTCATTTTATTAGCATTTACTATCATGAACTATAAACAGCACTTGTAGTTCATTTATTAATAATAGATCAACATTTACTAATACATTATTACAATTGTTCATGCTCAAATTCATGCTTGTTAACAATAATGCACTTTGAGTTGATGAACTAACAACAAACAACTGTATTTTTATTAACTAATTTTAACTAACATGAACAAAAATAAACGTATTGTTTTTTTTTTGTGTTAGTAAATACATTAACATTATCTAATACAACCTTATTAAAAAGTGTTAACAAATGAATAAAATAGGCTCTGTTTGCACACTTTGTTGTACACAAAATCAGAATGAGGCATTTGTGCTTCACACCTGCTTGTGAGAATTATGTCAGGCAGCGGCCACAGATTGTGATTTATAACACCACTTATATCCTTGTCAAATTTTAATACACAAAGGGGTAACTTTCATAATGCAAAACCCCTGTCATATAGCATTAGGAGTGTCTGAATACTGTTCAGCTGTGTCTGACAAATCCACTAAATGTAAATGTGCTTCATTGAATACAGAGGCAGACGGTCACCTGAATATTGACATTCTGTCAGAGGGCTTGTGAGTAATGTCTTTGAGCTTAGTGAAGGTCACGCTGTCCTGTTCGCACTGATGAGTTACAGTGAAGCTGTACATAATTCATTATATATACATTTTTATAGAAATATATATACACAACTCTGGGAAAAAAAAACTCTGGGACAACTTAAAAATGGTCTGAAACTACAATTGGTATACTGTATGTATTTGAGTAAGACTAACTTTGTTTCATGCCATAAACAAGGGATGACATTTCATCTAAATAGGAAATGATAATAATGTCATTTTGAGCAGTTTTGGATCAATATGTAGTATTAGAATAATATTTGGTTGAGTAACACAGATTTTCAAGTCTCAACAAAAGAAAATGTTAGTTAGTCTGAGTAATTAATTGCAATTTTCTGTAAAAAAAAAAAAGAAAAAAAAAAGCATGCCTTTCTTTATTTATTCCTTTTTTTCTGCTTAGTCCCTTTATTAATCTGAGGTCACCACAGCGAAATGAATCGCCAGTGTTATCTGACTTTTATAGAATAAAACAAAAGTTTAGATGCAAAAACTGCCTGAATTTGTCTAAAATCAGCATTTTTTAAGCCTCCTTTGTTTATGTTCTTTTAATGGCAACTAAAAAAATACTCATTGCCATAAACATAAAATTACTGAAGCTACATACAAGAGCCTTAAAAAACTAATCACCTTAGAAGAACATTTTAGATGACATTTAGAGGTTTTTACATGTGAACTTTCCAAATATTGCATTTTCCAAAATATCCAAACCTATATCCGGTAATTTCAGAAAAGCTAACAAATTATTTATTTATTTAGTTATTTTTAGATATTGAGTTATATTTTTAAGTATTGAATTAAATTTGATTGACAGCATGTTTCTGTGTGGGTACACGTGCATGAATGCATTTTTCATGTCTTTAAATATATGCACACTTTTTGAGGGAACCGTTGACTGTTAAAACAGATAAGAAACACAGTCAGAAACAATCTGGATGGATGAGGGCTGCTCACATGGATTCAGTTTTTCATAACAAGCTCCCCACAGGATGTGACTTCTGACCTAATGTTCAATGTCACTTCTGACAACCTGAAATAGAGGCATCTGGGGTCAGAGATGGATGGTTTTCTGTCTCAATCAGGGCACTTTCCTGTGCATATGTACACACATCAGCCTCATTGGAATTACGTGCCTTGGCCTACATTTTTGCGAAACCTAAAATACATTGCTCAGGGTACATATTGTTGCACGATTCAGATGACAAAACCACTAGAGCAGTGGGGCTCAAACTTTTTTTTTTCAAGGGCCAAAATCTAAGCTTGATTAGCCGCGTTTCCACTATCGCGCCTAAAGCGAGCGAGCCAGGGCGAGCCAAGGCCAGTGGCGTTTCCACTGTCACTTCCGGGGCCTAATCGGGCCAAAGCGGGGCTTTCTTGGGGCCAGCGGCCGGCCTTTTTCGGCCCGCCGAATACCTTGGGCCAAAGAGGGCCAGCCGGGGCTTTTGGACGGAGTGAAAGGAGAGGCGGGCACAGTTTTCCGATCGCACTCGAGTACATGCGCCAAACACATAAACAAACAAATAAATAAATAAGGGAAAGAAAACATCTGGAACAAATTATAGTCTGGGGTCTTTTTTGCATATGATCGCCCTTATGTTTCTCTTTTAAATGTAGGTTGTTGCATAAAATGATCTTTCTTTGCTGCATCTTTGATGTTTCAATAACGCATAATAATCTTTACACCATATTAAAGACACAGCAGACAGTAAAGGTTTTCAAGAGGTTTTGTCAAGTTTAATAAGTGTGTTTTTGCGCGTTTAGATGCCTGTGTATGTGTGTGAGACCGAGGAAAAGAGCGCTCCATTCATAGCTCTGTTGATACCGCGAGCGGCTTTTTTCTTTTATTTTTATTGTATTATTTTATTTTGGTGATAATACACTATATGAATACAACAGTAATACATTAAACTTTACAAATTTCATGTCCACTTTTGTAGGCTCAAAACAATAGTGTCATATCTAGATAAAATAGCCCTATATTGAAATAATTTAAAGAATTACAAATATTAGATAGGCCTATAATAAAATCACATTAAATAAATAAACCAATATAAAACTAACAAAAGCTAGGTACTATATCAAACTGTTTCAAATTTATATTAAACTTTAATTTTTCAAAAGCCTCCTTGAAAAGAAGATTTTAGATATTTTCTAAATAAATAAATAAATAAACACCGGAGAATGTTTTAAATATTATTTATAAAGTATTTGGATACGATTAAATTAATCAAATCATGCAAACAGAGCATTTTCGGGGTGAGTGAACGCAGAAACTAGGCGACCTTTTTTCTGTCTGCAGCTGCGCAGCACTTTTTTGACGGGGAAAACCGCAAGTTCAAATTGTGTTCTGTGTCCTCAAACAAGTGTGTGTGTTTTTATATGACATGGTAAAATTAAAAAAGGAAATTTTAAATACATAAAGAGCTTTATTAGTGCATAGCTGCTGAGCGCAACGAAATATAGGCTATATTTTATTACGTGCTGCTCTTATGTGCTGAAACACTGAACACTTTACTTAAGATTTAACAACATATTTATATAAAGGGAATCACCTGTCATAAAGTCTATAAGGAAAAGTTCATGTTTCAGTTCTCTCCAGAGCATTTGGGATTCATGTTGAACAGATTCTGCCTAGAGGATGTTATAAAATACATTTTATATCGAGTTATTAACGGAGAATTTTATATATGTGGTGTTATATTATGGATGTGTGCGCTCCCTGCACTGGGTCCCTCCGTTGGTGGCCACTGGATTTCGATGCCAATAGTCGGTCGGCGAGTAAATTAATATGATGAATGAAAACACACAGGCATGTGCGTATAGACATGAGTTGTACTGCTGTACAGTAACGTGTCATTTGTTTGTTTTGGTTGTCCTAATTTTAATAGTTTCGTGATTATGTGCTTTATCTGCATGATTCTCGCTGAAGTGGGCGGTTTGAGTGACGTTCGATTCGGGAGATGGTCAGGGGGCGGGGTTTGCGTGACGCGCTGCGAGCTACTAGCCCCACAGTGGAAACGTGATATGATTACGGCCTACTGCTCAACCTCCCGGGCGATTGGCCCGGCATGGCCCGATTTAAGCCCTGGCTCGCACTGGCCTGATAGTGGAAATGCGGCTATTGAGAGCTGTGGACCATAAAGGTGGAACAGATCACAGTTGATTCGTGATTCACAACCCACAGTTCGGAACACGTGACCCGTGCATTAGTACATTTACTTGTAGATTAATCCCGAACTTGTAACAAGTGCAGAGAGGTCACCTCTCGTGTCATTAAAATAACATGGAATCATCTAGGCTTTCCTGTAAAATATGATGAGAAAGAAGTTGTGGTACTGTAGGTTATTCGGGATGTGGTGGGTTTCTTTTTTATCACTTCTAGTTTAGCCTGCATAAATGAATTCCATGTAAATTGCACGATTAATCATTAAAAGATCAGGATCTCAACACCCACACAACATAAATTATAAATGATGGTGATTTGCATATGTTTATCAATCATAAGAAATTCAGTCTTTAGTCTTTTGAGATAGTTATGAAATTCCAAACAGACTAATAACACAGCAGTACTTGGATATCCGTTTATAGTTAAAATATAACCACCGATGTTTATGGTAAAAATTGATATCACCATCATATGCATTTAACAATGCTCAAAAATGAAAGTTGTACGCAGAAATTACATCATTTAACCAATAGGTGACCAACCAGCCTTCAAAAAGATTCCACTGAATAATTATTTTAAAATGATCCATCTAGAACTCATAAAAGATGAGTTTTTATGAGTGAACAACTGAC